GAGGGAGAGTGAGAGGGGTGAGGAAAGGAGGGAGGGAGGGAGGGAGGGAGGGAAGGAGGGAGGGAGGGAGGAGAGAGGGAGGGAGGGAAGGAGGAGGAGAGGGAGGAGAGAGGGAGGAGGGAGGAGAGGGGGAGGGAGGGAGGAGGCAGGGCAGAGAGGGAGGAGGAGGAGAGGAAGGAGGAGGAGGAGGAGAAGGAGGGAGGGAGGAGAGAGGGAGGGGAGGAAGGAGGGAGTGAGGAGGGAGTGAGAGAGGGAGGAGGGAGTGAGAGAGGGAGGAGGGGAGAGAGAGAGAGGGGAGGAGAGTGAGAGAAGGAGGGAGGGAGTGAGAGAGGAAGGGAGGGAGAGAGAGAGGGAGGGAGGGACCTTTGAAGATGGGTAGACGTGCATGTAAACTGTCCAGTGGATGATGGAGGTGATTCAACCTTCACTGCTTTTTCTTTCTTGACGCTGCCATATCTCTCTCTCTCTCTCTCTCTCTCTCTCTCTCTCTCTCTCTCTCTCTCTCCCCTCACAATATCACAACTAACAGTATCAAACATCACTCCTCCCTTGACATTTCACATCAAAATTTTACAAAATCAAATTGGTCATATGAAACGAGTTATAACGCGAAATTCAATATACACTTAACAACAATAAAACAATATTTTGGGCCAGGGAATTCGCACTTTTTTTGGCGTGAATGTCGCATTTTGTTTTTCTTTTTTTGCTGAACAGTAAGATTTGTATGGCGGAAGAGCAACACTTTTGGTGGGAAAACATTAGAAATCACTGGCGGCTGAGAGATGAAATAAAGTGGAAAACACCAAGAAAATGTTGATCTATTTTTATATTGAATTTTAATGTAAGTTATAAATGAAAGTGATTAAATAAATATTACATTTTATTAGTGTGACTCTCTCTCTCTCTCTCTCTCTCTCTCTCTTATTTGTGTTCAGTAGAGGCGAAATAATACTTGCACTTATTGTTTTGTTGTCCATTTCTTCATTTATTATTAATATCGGCATCTAAAAAGAGAGAAAGATATTAAGAAAGAAAGAGAGAGAGAGAGAGAGAGAGAGAGAGAGAGAGAGAGAGAGAGAAAAAACGGAGAAAGAAAGAGGAAAATATCGAGAGAGAAAATATAGGAAAACAGAAAGAGAACGAGAGAGAAATAGAGACAGACAGACAGACAGAGACACAAATCCAAAACGAACTAATAAACCCCCCCGTTCATCGTTAACCACTAAGGAACAATATTATTTACAGGAATATTCTCTGTTTATGTCGTCTAAAAATACCAGACCAAATATTGCGTCTTGATGATCCTTCAGTTCTTTAATATACTTGGACGGGATAAGTGAGGGGATCTTTGCAATGGTGAATCCTCGGGTGGTTGGGAGGCGGCAAGGGGGGAGTAAAATGTATGGTTATTATCCCTGGGTTCCTTCCAGCCCTAGATGGCAGCCAGGGGAGTATTTCTCTAAGATGTTTTCATAGCGGTGGAGCCATTGTCAGCCTATACAGTATATTTATATTTGCCTGCGTCCTCATATAACCGGATCAGCTGAAATACGACACAGAGACAGAATCCTCCCAAAGATGCATACATGAATTTCCTTGATAACTTGAGTCTACAGTGGCGGCTCGTGAAAAATAAACTGGAGAGACTGCAAGCCTCACACAACAGTAGGTGACCTACCTCAGGTATGAGTTGTAGTTGATGTCCACGAGTTCCCAGGGCATGGTAGTACTGATGGACCAGTATTAATTGACAATAAAGTCGGCGTGTCTGCTCTTCGATGTAGCAAAATTGTTTATTACTATTTCATTAAAATCCTTTATTTCTGTTATCATTTTATTTTCAATGGATATCACTGCTAAAGCAGACAGTCTGATAAACACTCATGTTAAACTGGCGTGTATATTGTTTGTTCCTGCTTGAATGGTGTAGGTCTTCCTCTTGCTTTGATTTCAGTCTTTTCATTTAATGTCAGCTGGGAAAAGTTGATGTTTTGCAAATACTTCACTCTATTTTCCATGGTCAAAGGGTAATTAAAGAAAGCTTAGTTAACCACACCGTCCACACGTAATGTAAACACCAGACTGAGCGGCGCCAATTAATAACAAACATCAATCGTACAGCATTGACACCAACTATGACAGTAACTTAAATTTTGGTCTGATTTTAATGAAAATTCACTTAGCAACGTATTGAAAATAATTAAATAACATATAAAATGATCTATTTGTTGGTAGTGTATTATTGAGCTGTCTCTCTAAAGGAATCATACGCCTGGCAGTGAGTGTCTGGGGGGACTGCAGGAGCCACCACTGTGAGTCTGAGAGAATGAATATGATTACACTCTAGCCTCCATCCCTGTTAAGACTCAACTGTGTCGTGGCTTTCCAGTGAGGCAGTTACACACGTTCTCACATATCCAGTTAGAAGGAAAATTGTACATACATACTTAGAATAATTTATCCTCGTGAAGCGCATTAAATGATTCAGTAATATACGTTCCCACATCTCTACCTACTTTTTATAACCTTGATTGATTGATTGATTGATTGATTGATTGATTGATTGATTGAGTGAGTGAGTGAGTCAGTCAATCAGGTAGTTAGTGATTGCTTGATTGATTTATATTCAGCACCTCTGGGCGTCATATCAGCTTAGGTCATTACGCTTAATTATTTAAAAAAAAAAGACTCAGGTTAATTAAAATGTCATAAAATAAATTTATAACTAAAATCCCAAAGTATATCCTCAAGACCAGAAGCTCTCCAGTGCTCACATAGATAGATGAGATTAAAATATAGATAAGTTTACAATTGGTTCAGCATGTAGACAATACAGGCATACAGCTCAGGATGTTACTGTATAGACAACTAAGGTATACAGGTACAGTGTATACATAGTTTGTGAAGGTATTTACAGTATACAGTGTTTCTATACCTGCACTGTCTTGTTAGATTTTTAAACGTTCCTACATTAAAATAGTAATTGGAGCCTCCCCCCCCCCCTAGCTGTGGGTCTAGGTTAGGTTAGGTTAAGTTAGATTACATTAGTTCGCGTTAGGTTAGGTTAGGTTATTTAGCATTAGGTTATGTTAGGTTAAGTTAGGTTAGGTTATGTTAGATTAAGTTAGGTTCGGTTAATTTAGGTTAGGTCATGGTAGATTAAGTTAGGTTAGTGTATCTCAAGGTAAAATAAATAGGGTTAATTTTCAGATAATCTAAATATTTAACATACTAACATAACTCGATTTAATTCAAACTTAACCCTTATTAGTCTACCTAACCCAACGACGCCTAACCTTAAACTAGATCACTTTAGCAACATGAACTAACCCAACCTAGATAGATAGAACCAGAGAGTTAGATATTTATTGAAATTAAGCAAGAGATAGAGAGATAGATAGATAATTGAGTAAAATTGTCATACAAGTTAACATTGATTGTGTATCTGAGTATTGTATAAAATTCAGTGCATATTAATAATAGAATCTGGCCCTTGTAGTTTCGAGAGAGTAGACAGAAAACAGTGAATATATTTAGCGAGTGCTGCCTGACCTACAGCTGGTGCCTGATATAGGGAAGACATGTACGTTTTCTCTGGTGAAATTGGAGAACTTGTCCATTTTCTGTGAAGACTTTTTTTCATGGTCGCTGTACGATTTCTTGTCATGTTATATTATTTCTACTTTATTTGATATTATAACAGTATGAATTTTATTTTTCGTTATAATTCCCTTGTGTGAGTTATTATTTTACCCTTATTCGGATCTGGAGTCTCAGAGGTTTGATAGGTTAAATACTTTACTCTGCCAAACTCGTAGGATTTTCTGTGCTCTTTATTAAAGTACTTCTACTCCACTTGATATTATGAGAGAAAGGTTTTAAATTTAATTCTAAAATTCTCGTGCTAAGGAAAGACTAAATCCTGTTCTGATCTCTTCATGGTATTCATTGCAACAGGAGCTTACTACAGAACTTCTAAGAGTTGAAGTACAAAGCTTTTTCTTTTTTATATTTTAATTCAGATTTCCCTTTGAAGCAGAGAACTGGAAACATTTAAACTGTAAAAAAAATGGTGTAAAAATATAGTAATATTACATAGAGGCCTACATATTGTGCAATAAGCTATCACCTATATCGGGAAAAGGTGACATTTGTGGGTATTGAGAGGAACAATATACAGTACTGTATTATATAAGCGTGGACACAAGATATTTAAGATATAAATCTAATATTTATTTAGTAATTATAGATTATGAGAAGATTATGAGACGTAAACAGAAAGGTTGAAGCATATGGAAAATCAGACTAATTATTATATTTACCTTCTAAACTCATAATTTATATAGCTGGAGAATTGCTACGATAACAGAAAAATACATACATAGTGCAGAAAAGCAGTGGAAAGGAATGTTCTCAACTGTGGTAATGAAATGTGTAACCCGAGAGGGAATATCATATATCTTCTAACGGTATTGAGAATGTAGCTTTTAGTAAGGGTCAATAACCTTTACCTGAAGTTTAGTAAACGGGACTTGTAAAACTAAAACATTCAATAGAGATATATCGAATATATATTAAGTGTTTGATATTAAATTAAATGTGATAAACCGCAACATACATACAATAAACTCGGTATTATACGCGTCGATATCAAGAAGGAAAATTCGGTACCTTTCTACTCGTCTAGGAAACCTTATACTATCTATATACTACGAGACTTCTAATAAGAGTTAATATATGCTCAGTAATAGAGACTTATTAGCATAATATGGTGAATTGAAGCAATATATAAGAAGAAAATAAAGACATGTATATAAACCTATCATATGAAACACAGCTTAAATCACACAACAGAGGTTCATAGACCACTCATATATAGCGAATGATGTTTAAGATATAAAAATTTTAAACATAATAAAGATCACACAATAGATTAGAGTATATAAGAGAGATATATAGAGAGAGAAGTACCCGCAGGTCTAGGCTCACTTGTCCTCCTCGGCGCAAGTCAACTCGCTCACCACAACAAACATGAAGACCATCGTAGTAGCCTCAGTCGACGCCCTTTATAACCATTATACCATGTAATATATCCCACCCACCACTATATTCACCGACTCATGTTTAAACAATAAGGTAAGGAATGTGGTGTGATATAGTTTAGTGAAAGATGAGGTGGTTTAATGGTCATTGAGAGGGTTTAATGGCGGGGAGTTTATTGATGTGGGCGTAGTGATGATCGACTGACTGACGGGAGGGAACAGCTGATTGTCTTGTGGGTTTTAAACGTTATTTAAATTTGTTTATTATTAAATGGCTTTTTAATATTAAGGATAATGATGTATGTTTTAATGTGTATGAAATGTCAGGTGAATTTTAATTATGGGTGAATTATGTTAAGGGTAATTGGTGGTCTTGTGTGTTAAGTAATTATAAAGTGTAATTTAAAGTTGTTTTATATTTAATGATTGCAGTAATAAGGACGATAGTGATTTATTGTGTATTATATATCTAGGATTTGTTTCATTTTTATTACTGCGTTATAATGACGTTTTAGGAAAATTTGGTGTGATAGAATACTCTTGTGTATTAATTATTTCTTATTATATAGTATATTATCTATATGTTTGTGTATATTAAGTGTAAATAATTGTTGAAAGGTGTTTTATCAATAGGTACAGTAATGTTATTAATATTATTAATTTATGTCTCTTTTAGCCTCATTGTATTTTAACTTGATTATGAACTCAATTAGAGAAGAAATGTGGGTAAATATTTATTAGTTGCCAACACCTATATTGAGTGTAAATAAAAATTGTCGTTCTGGCAAGATGCCGCTTAAATGACCAAACGCGTAAACCAAATCCGCGTAAATTGAGACTATACTGTGTTAATGTACACCACGAAGATGCTGGAAAACCAGCTTTTTAAAGTGAGACAGATTGTATAATTATGGAAACACAGAAGAAGGCAGAGTAATCCACAGTTTGGCTGTGTGAGGAAAGAAGGAGGTACTATAATGGGTTAGAGTTCAGCAGAATTTGGTGTTAACAGAATACTTTGTCTTGTGCCAGTAGAGTAGAGTACATCTTGTTGTCAGGAGAGTACACCACTGTTTTTCTTTTCATCCCTCTGTACCCAGTGACAGCTTATACATGGCAGAGGCTTCTATAGGGGTGTTTTTTATTAGAAGGAGCAGTACTGTACCGATAATTCGCACTGGTCCTCAGTCCGTAGACATTGCTAGTATACTGTACTATAAAGTCTACAACTTCTTAATAGACTTTAATCAGTAAAGAAACTATTTGTACAAACTTTCAGTTCTTATTACTGCTTGATTTTCCAAATACACTCCAGTAATGTCCCCATTAGCTTATCTCCTCAAACTCTAACATCATAAGACTCTTAGTTCATTGTCTGCTGCCATTGTACCAGCTTGTTCACACACTCACTGCTCTTTTTGCATAATAATCAGCCAAGAATACCATTAAATCAGTGTTAAGACATAAGAAGTGATAACAGTTATGTATAATGTACTGTACTGTATATTCATTAAGTGTGAGAATACTGTATGTTCAGTACTGTACATAGCAGAGTGGACAGTGTACCCGGTATGCCTGCTGTAGGCTAAGGTGTAGAGGGTGTATGTACATTATACGTAAAATCCCTCTATCATGGAGGGAGAGGAGAGTGACAGCAACACTTGATACAGTAGATGGTAGTACAGGACAAAGGCAGGCCATCCTCTTATCATATCACCATTTGGCCTGCCTGCATCACTAGTTCAAGACAACAACATCTGGTGATGGTTGCAGTGTAGTCTATACTGTACAGTAATATATATTTTTTATTTTCAGTATGTTGTAAATTTATGGAAACATTCACTAAGTTTTTAAAAATTCCGGGATGTGCTATTTTTTACGGGGACAAGAAAATTTGTCTCTATACCCGAAAATCTCTCTCAACTGGAGCCACTTTGTACCACTTACCTGTATTCTGGCTAATGGAGAGATTACTGTATATACTTATTTTTCTTGAAAATACAGAGAAATTAAGTGCATGAAAGTCAGTTTTGAAATCTATAAAGGAATTTAATTTCCTCATATTGTACCAGAAGAAATTTTATTGCCTTAACTCATTACATTTTATATTTTATTATCACTGTACAAGTAACCTATGAGGTAGAGGTTTTGAAGATGTTTCCTTCCAATTCCTATTCAAAAATTTCTCTTCCTTTTTTTTCAAGGAGAAGATGAACATCATGCGCAAGTGGTGGGGATCGGGGTCACGGGTCGGGGGCGTCATGGAGAATATGGACACCGTCAACTCTCAGGCGGCCCAGCAACACCTCGCCCTGGGACTGATGCACCTCAAGAAACTGTTCAGTGAGTACTCGTACCCTCCCCACCCACTCTCCGAGCCCGAAAAAGAAGACAAACTTTACAACATGCTTCCATTGTTCTGCAAGGTAAGGCCAATGAAGAGTTTTGTGTGTTTCTTGTAAGAGCTTTGATATATGTTTAATGATTGAGAAGACAAGGCTCTCATAAGACCTCTTGCCTCTGTGGGACAATAGTTGAACTGAATTATCTTCATTAGAGAGTATTGGTGTTATGAGCAGGGAAGAGTAGTTGGCATATCTATACAGGTACTGCTCGACTTATGACAACCCGGACATACGACCGCCGTGGTCATATAAAATATTTTTCAAATTATGTATTTTCTAGTACCGACGTTAGTGATCGCGCTGTGTACTGACAAAATTTTTGTATGTAATTCCCTTTAAAATGGCTGGCAAGCGTAAAAGTGAGAGTTCTCGTGGTGCTGAGAAAAAAAAAGAGACACCCATTTTAGAATTTATATATATTATTTTTTTGCCTTTTCAACTTACGACATGGTCGTAGGGACGGAACCCCTTCGTAAGTCGAGGAAAGACTGTATATGGGGTAACACCTCAACCCTGACTGATGTATTAGAATGTTGTTTGGGGACTTCGCTAGAACACCTCAATAAACTGCTCATAGAATTACAGAATCATTCCCTCATTTAGGATATGTTAGGTAGAAAGATAAGAAGATGTTAGGTTAGGTTTTATCTGGACTCCGAACAGATGAGTTAAAGAAAATAGCGACATTTTTTATTGATAACTTTGATAAAGGATGAAAGTCAGACTGATGTCAGATGAGTCAGGGTAATTGTTTCCTTTATTACAGGCTTTGTGGTGCTGAGTCTTCACTGAGGCCTCATGTCAACATTAGTTCCTCATTTATAGTTGTCCTTAGTCATTTATTATATATTAGTAATGATATAAAATGTTACTGGAGAGTCTTCTTGACTGATTGAAAACTAAAGGAGAAATCAGTCAGCATAATTACTAGATGAAGGAAAAATATTTCTTTCATCTCTGGTAATAACTTTCACTTATTTTCAGGTGTTTGGTTCCAGCCCAACTTCAGATCTTCAGGAAAAATTTGGTGATGTTTTAATCTTTACACAGCATGTTAGGTGAGTCACTTAAGTGTTCATGTCTGCATCAGTGTACGTACCCTGTACAGTATATTGCTCGTTGGAACAGTTTGGGTTACTGAGAATAAGTTAAGTCTGGACTGATAATGGAGTCAAAATGATAGATCTTTTCATTTTGTTTACAGTTTAGTATAAATTATAAGGAATCACAAAAAATTTAGTCATCATGTTATGTCTTTGGAGGATAACATGAAACAAACACCGAGTCAGTTATCATTGCTAGTATTTACATCAGACGTATGTAATACTTTCAGTAAACTGATGGTGACGGAGATCAGACGTCGGGCCTCGAACCAGTCAACAGAAGCTGCTTCCTGTGCCATTGTGAGGTTTCTCGAGATTGACAGCTGTGAGGAGAGTAGTAACGGCTGGATGCTGCTTACTGCCCTCAACCTCCTGGCTGCTGGACCTCCACAGTTGATTGAGGTAATCACTGCTGAATTTTTGTTTATTTGTTCTTAGTTGTTTTAATTGGCTTATTGCCTCACATTAACCTAACTTGTCTGGTGGGTCATCTTGGGATCAAAAGTTAATTTCATAATTTTTCTCTATCTGTTTGTTGTCTTTCCTATGCTTGGGTGTATTAACCCCTTATTTATGGGATCCTCTCTGTGCTGAATAAAATTGTCTGGAGTTAGCCCAATAAAATACTGAAAGTGGATGAAGGGGTTAAGAGAAGCAGACTCCAAGATCAAGACAGCAATACACAAAAATAGAAGTTTGCATATAAAAGTATAGAAAGTATTAATTATGAATGCTTATGTACACATTTCTCTTATCCTTAACTTGCAAAAAAAAAACTTATGCAAGATTACATAGTTTACAAAATTGAACAGGAACTGCTGCTGATAACTACAGTAATTGATTTGCTTTTGGTTAGAGTGATCATGTGTTTGTGTACACACACACACACATAGGTATCACATGTAAATTTACCTGATTGTTTGAGTTTCTAATTTCATATCATTTGATAAAGATAAATATTGATCGGATAATTGATGGACTATGTTGGCAATCAGTAAATCCAGTCAGAATAATCCTCACTTTAGATATACTGAACCGGTACTCATTACAAAGAGACAGTACAGTATATTAATTTGTAAAAACTCTCATCACTTCACAATATTGAAATTTTCTAAAAAGTGTATAGCAGTTTGGGTAACAGTTTATTTATTTTATGTATTTTCTGTAGGTAATGACAGCTGCCTCCCTACCATCAACACTAGTCAAGTGCTTATACCTCTTCTTTGATCTGCCTGAGTATGAGAGCCCCTCCACCGATGTGACCACCCTACAGGCAGACAACGACTCTACTGAATTCTCTGCCAGTGAGAGAAGGATTTTACTGCAGAAGGTGTTTGTGCAGGTGTGTAGGAGTTACTGTACTTAAAGCTTTGTCATAGGTGTAGAAGTTACTTTTCGTGTCACAGGTATAGAAGTTAATTAAAGTTTTGTCACTGCTGTAAATATTTTCTCGTACCATATTTTGCTGACCTTCTTGGTGTAATGGTCCTTTCATCACACTTGTTTCTGTGATATTTTCTTCATATTACCATAAATGGAATTCAAATAATGATTAATCTGATTTTTCAACAGATGTCAAGAGTGTCAAGGTAATTTTGTCCGTTATTAAAAAATATAATACTATAGGTCAAAATTGCCCTGTTTCTTGGCATAACATTTTCAGTCACCCAAATTTATAAGTAAACAATGAAGTAAGTTTATTATACTTGAAGATTGTGTTAACGATCTTTGTAAGTAAAAGTGAAAATGTCAGTCAATAACCTGTTCCATCCCTGTGTGTGAGGATCATACGGTGCCTCAAAGTTACTTCATGTTTGTGTTCTGTCGGTGCTTTCTCTGGTACAGTACAGTGCTTTACTAGTGTATTACTGTATTTCAGTTGTTGGTGAGGCTGTGCTCCCACACTGCCCCAGCGGAGGAGTTAGCACGTAAGGATGATCTGACTCTGCTGTTCTCGGCCATCACGACTTGGTGCCCCCAACACAATGCCCTCTGGAGGAAGAGCGCCGCAGAGGTGCTGATGACGCTCTCCAGACACGGACTCTCTCAACCCGTCGTCAGCTATATTCACAGTGAGTTATATTGTTGTCCTCGTGATGAGAGTGTAGACCAGCGCCTCATTAATGTTATCCTCCCTTCCAGGATGTCCGCTCAATTACTTTTATCAGTGCTTACATTCCCATTATTGTCAGAAAATATTAACCCCTTGTGTATGGGGGCCCCTCTGCTGAATAAAATCATCTGACATTAGCCAGACTCTAAATGGCATCCTTTTATTGACTGAATATAATATCTCCTCATCAGCTTGTTTCTAGTTTCCATGAGTGGATTTACTGAAAGCTACTAAACTTATATTGTGTGTTTTCAGATAAGGGCTGTGTGGGTCTGTGTGTGGAGAACATGGAGCGAGGACAAGACCTCTCCCCTCTCGAGATCGTTGAGATGTTTGTGACCGTGTTCTGTTTCCTCAAGGACTCCTCAGAAGTGTCTCAGACTCTCCTCGATGACTTCAGATCTTCTCAGGGTTATGCTTTTCTTGCAGAGTTTCTACTCAGGTCTGTTCTAAGTATTGTTATTTTTCTTTAGAGTATTGTATTATGTTGTGTATAGATTACAAAAAGTATCTTAATATTATCACATATGCACCTTAAAGTTTACGGCACCACACGACTGTAAACATGTCGGTCATCAAAATTTTTTCAGGAATACGCCATGAAATTATTGACAATCTTTTGTAATGTGCTAATAAATTTATCAAAAAATACCATTATCTAAAAATTCTGTCATAAAATCTAGAGTGAATAGACAGGATCAAATCACTGTCTCTTACGCACATTAGACTGGAGGCCGACACATCTGATGAAAGCCGTGAGGCCCTGAGGAATCTTGTCTTACTCGTCTCATCCCTGTCCTATTGCGGCTACATAGAGTTAAAGCCGTCTTCTGCATCAATTGGCTCCCTGTTCCACTTACAAGGGTTCTCGTTGCCTGTTCCATCTGGGAGAGGTGAGGACTTGTAATTCTATGACAAATATGCTTTAAATATCCAATCTGGGTGACTGGCCCTAGTAAGGCCTAACCTAACTTAACCACCTAACTGTTGCATAACCGTTAGAATTGAGGCTAAGTTCTATTTAGTCTGTAATTCTGATAGTTATGGAAGGTTGACATTAGTATTAGAGCCAAGGCATAATGGACGCCAGTTTAAGTAAGGCAGGTTGAGGCCTATGAGAAATTATGCCCATTTAACCTGGAACCTGAATCTGCATCTTCAAAAGCCCTTGTTAGAAATTGTTCATTGTTAGACAGTGTATGTATAGGAGAAATAGTTTTTCATCCTTTTATAGAACTATTGTTTGTTGAAGTGAAATCTAAAGTAATCTCTATGAATGATAACTGATACTGTTAAAATTTTGTGTAGGTCAAAGTATGTAAACTAATTTATAACTGATCTTTAATAAGTAAACTGAGAAAAGTACTGTGTAAGTCAAAGTAAACTTGCATCATGTCTCAACAGGCACCAGTGTGAGAAATGTACAGGCCTTCAACGTCCTTCAGTCAGTGTTCCTCAGAGGTACAACATCCAACCTCTGCTCAGTGGTTCTGGACGCCATATCAGCCGTGTATCACTCAGACTCTGCCAACTACTTCATCCTCGAGCCCCAGCACACGCTATCCACTTTTGCCGAGAAGATTCACTCCAAGCCAAAAGAAATACAAGTGGGTGAAAGTGTTCATTTTATTAATACAGTAGTAGTTATAAAAGCATTGAATATATGGGTAGATGGAAGTAGAATATTCATAAATAGAGTAAGTAGTGTTTGGCCGTAAAGTATTCATATTCATTTCTGGGTCATAGCACCAGCGTTATACATTATACCAGTCAGTATTGTCACCTGTGGCTAGAGAGAGAGAGAGAGAGAGAGAGAGAGAGAGAGAGAGAGAGAGATGAAGACAATGATATAGAAAATTAATTACACCTGGGTACCGCGTAAACGTGGAAACGCGTAAAAAAAAACGTGTAAAGTGGGGTAATACTGTATGCAATGTCAATTCAATATTGCCTTGTACTATATGCTCCCATCTTTGCCTTGGATACAGTTGTCTCCCCCTCTTCGTACATTTTCTCTATATACTTAGCTGTTTCCTCCCCTCCGCTACTCTGCATTTCAACAACTTTAATCATAATATTGCATCACTAAAAACAGTAAAATTAACTGTTACATTACTACAAATGTATAATACATATTAAAGATACATCATGTTATTTCTTGTATGTTTCAGGAGAAGTACTTCCAGCTGCTGGAGTTTGTTGTGTTCCAGCTGAAGTTTGTCCCCTGTAAAGAACTCATCTCACTCTCCATTCTACTAAAAGCTCAACACACTCTCTCCTGCTCTATCATTTGCATCAACACACTGCTCACCATTCTCAAGTAAGATTTTTCTCTGCTTATGTTTTGGCGCACTTAACATTTTCTGACATAACTACCATAGAGAATAGCATATACTATACTGAATATTACTTGTACTGCTTTTAAACCCTTGTGGATGGCCTCCCTGCTGTGCTGAATAAAATTATCTGGCATTAACCAAATAGAATATTAAAAGTGGTGTCCCCATAGTGAAGGGATTAAAGGTACTTCAGTTAATATACACAGGCAATAGTTTGATAAAATCCCATTACTGTACTTGTAAACTTACAGAAGTAGTTAAGAAGTGAAAATATCCCCTCAATGGGTGTTTAACATAAACAAATAGATAATTCCTATACTGTATACAGTATTGTAATTCCTTAATTACTGTACCACCACAACTTCCTTCAATTTAAACATGTTATATAAATTTGGTGACAGGCATAATACAGTCTTCAAGGATGTATACCGTGAAGTGGGTATGCTGGAGGTGTTCGTCACTTGTCTCACAAGATATCATGAACTGCTTAAAGTACAGTCCAATGAAGAATCACTTAAGAAAGGTTAGTGCTGTATTGAGGCTCTTCCTGCTCTATGGTCAATCTTTTTAGCTGACGGTACAAGCCCCGCCCCCCTTGCAGCTCATTGGCTCATACATAATATTTGATTGATATTGATACTGTATATCTCAAATAAATCCAGATATAACTGTTAAGGATACCCCCAGTTCTGGTTCACTTTAATGCCAAATTTAATATGTGTAACTGCTTGAAAACATTAACTTTCAAGATATGAGTGGAAAAGAATTTGAACTAGAGTATTTGCCATCGAAGTTACGAACAAATCCACACTTCCAGAGAACACATTCACTACTACTTCTTCTCCTTTCACTAATCATTATGTATATCAAGACAAATGACACCAAATAAACAAAGCAACTAAAAAAATTACTTTAGTGAAGAGGTCTTTCAAGGTGGTCATATGCCGGTACAGATTTCTTTATTTTTATTATCCTATTCAGTTTGAATTTATACAGCATAATGTGATTTTTTTTTTTGCTTGAAGATACATTAATTACAGAATATTCTTAGGTAGGATGCCAGTAACAAGTTCTATTTTCTTATTATAGAGGAAGGCACCAGCATGGAGGAGAAGTTGGGTTTCCTAGTTATGGAAGCACTCACACACCTCCTCTCTTCAAATAGTCAAAATGCTGCTGTCTTTAGAGAGTCAGGAGGGGCCAAGTGTGCTGTTGCTCTTGTTCCTCACCTAGAATGTCGCCTTCAGGCTTTAGGCAAGTTAACTGTTAATTGAATTGTGCATTTAAGAGAGAATTTTTATATTTGTTTTAAAGTTAATTCAATTTTACTCAGGATTGTAATGATAATGATGATAATGGCACTACCATAGGATACTTGTGGTAATGTGGCAAGAGTACCTATCTTGGGTGTCCTGAGTTTAAGCTTTGAGTAACGACTCTTTTGTTATAGTAAACATGAGGCTTCTTAGTACATGTTCTTCGTACATTGTGCCTTGGTGTATGAGGTTGTGCTGGGTATTATATCAGGGAAGGGGAATAATGGTTGTATATTTGCTGTTTCAAACATTAAAAAAAACAAAGGAGGGTAGGGTAGGTTAAGCTAGGAAATACAAACAAAATCTTTAACGTAATACTTACTGTATTATAGCAACTGTTCTGCACCTTTGTGTTTATTTTAATGTATAAGTGAAAATGTTTCTCTCTCATACAGGTGTAATGCAGCAGCTGATCCTGGCTGATGATGACATGGGGTCATTGCTGGGTCTCCTCCACTCAGCCCCTCCCACAGAGTTGCAGCTCAAGATTGATATTCTCAAGGTAACTAACCATCAGCCTTTCTTGCCCAGGGGTTTAGGTTTCTTTAATCTTTCTATCTATTATTGATGTCACCTGTGAAACCAGCAGGGGACTGTAGGAGACTTCTCTCTCTCTCTCCTCAACTCTCTCTTACCACCCGGTCTTACTCACCATAAAGGTCACTAAAGGGTTTTGGTCATGAAACTTAGCATACCGATAAATTTATAAAATGGAAGGCATTAATGAGCTTTGTGACACGGTGGAGGATGTGTGTTGTTGAGCGATACTTGTTCATTTAACTTTTCCTATTTCTTCATCCACTATATAGAAGTTTAATAGTTATGATAAAGAGATAAATAATTGCAAAATTTTACTGCAGCAGACTTGTATGTAATGTAACTTTTGTATTTATTTTTCAGTCCCTTCTAGTCTGCTTAAAGGAATCTCACCGGACAAGAACTGTTTTCCGCAAAGTTGGGGGCTTCGTGTACGTGATGAGCGCCCTGGTGAGCCTGGAGGGAAGCCTGGGAGACGTCATACCCCCAGCGTGGAGCACAGTCCCATCACGGCACATCCTTACACTCCTGCTAAACGTCTTCAACACACTCACTATGGCCATGAGATGCGAGCCAGCTAATGCCAAGTTCTTCCATCAGGAGGTGAGCATCTGTAGATGGTACGTGGGAGTATAGAAGTAGTCGCTATAGAAGAGAGTAGTTAATATAGAAGTAGAGGAAAAATTAGTCTAGAAGTAGATGGTACCAACATTACTTGTATTCTTTTGTTTATGTTTTCAGAGATACTGTATTTTAATAAAATGTTATGTGCTTTTGGGCCATGCTGGTTATTCATTCACCTGAGGATGAAAGATGATGATGATGAAGATAGTTAGATTGATAAAATATGAATAGGAGTTTTAATATAGCCACAAATGAAAGTTATTATACTTTTTCCCAAACCAGATCTGCTACACTAGCTTCTGTGATACCCTGCGGCTTCTTGGCTGCTTCATGACAGAGACCCACATCCAGGACCCTACCGAAGATACCCTGGACCTGTCCATCTGCACCAACAGGGAGACTGACACAGCCACCACATCTCACACAACAGTCGGAGTGGACCTCAACACCTTCCACACCATATTCACTACACCGATTTTGGAATACATGTAAGATGATATTTGTATATGTTCTGGGTACCAAGTTATATCTACAGGAGCGAACACAAACACCTGTAGAGTTTTCGTAGGTTCTATTTACTGGACAAACAGAGATACACAAGCGAAACAGCTCTCCTTACTCTGTCTGGGGGGTCAACTAGCCTTTCAGGCGACATGTGGCAAGTGATACATTAGCAGCTTCCATATGTCGCCAGGCACATTAATTAAGCGTGTGGGACATGGTAAATACATTGCCACACGCTGCAAGCTAGGCTGAATAAATAATGTATATAAATGGACATACATAATATACATACAGCATATATAATATACATACAGCATACATAATATACATACAATATTGTTAACATCTACACATCCCCACCATTTATACTACCTTAGGGTTAGCATAAAGCCACTTGGGTGCACAGTATCTTGGTATTATGGATCATCATTTTGAGTTTATTATTTTCCTCTTGGGATGATGATAAGTTGTGTACTGTACAGGACTGGTGTAAGCCTGGTCAATATTGAGAGCCTTGTAGAATGGGAATACTTCATAAGAACACATTTGGTACAGTTATAAGAAGGAATGTATGAGAGAAAATGGGTCTGTGTTTCTTCTTGGTTCTAGCCATTTTTTATTCTAGTGGGAAAAGTCTTCTAGGAGGTAACAGAGAAACATTACAACACTACAAGGAGGAGTTTGCTTCATTGTAATCTAGTTAAGGGTGGAACTTTGTGATAGAGGTCAAGTTTAGGATTTTCACACTAAATGAGATCAAGGAATTTTAATGGTTTGTGTTGGCTGTTGTTCTGTATACGATAAACCTTGGTTGTGTCATTTGCAGTTAAGGTGAAAGGTTACATTTTGGTTGAGTACAGTTATACTGTATCTAGGTGAAAGTTGGCAGTGGCTGTGAACATATGGAAAGAGTTTGTGTGTGCATGTGTGTTTGCTCTTGTTCTGGCCAAATAAATAAAGATAGGCATGTCCTGTGCATCCCAGTAGAGTATATAATTACATAATGTATAAAAGTTTGTCTTCTTCATGTAATCATCTATCAGTTATGGTAGACCAGCTTTGTCACATCTCATGTTCTCCCATTTCCAGACCTCCTCCAGAGATCCCGGTGTCACTAGTGCGGGTGGTACAGATCCTGCAGTTGATGTACCACATGGCCCTTGATGCCTTTGATAAAGCTGCAGTACCCACCTTCACCCCTCCTGATATTGGGATGTCTGGGAAGGATGTGAGTTTGCTTAAGTAACCTAACTTTACCTCACTGCTCCTCACCTTTCAAAATTAACATGTGTGATTGGTTTTGTTTTAATCCTTGCCCTAAGCTGAATAAAATCCTAATGTACAACATTTGATGGAAAAGGGTTAAAAAATTTAGTTATAATGTATGGGAATTGTCTGAATATATTAATCTTTTCCAGGAAACAGAAATTTTCCACCTCAAACCAGCTTAACACACAGTACAGTACACCAGATGGTGTTAGGAGGGACCTCACGTGGTGTAGTAGTTCCCTCACAGATGTGTTATGAGGAACCTCACGTGGTGTAGTAATTCCCTCACAGACGGTGTTATGAGGGGCCTGACGTGGTGAAGTAATTCCCTCACAGATGGTGTTATATGAGTGAGGTGTGGTCCCAGGCCTTCCTGTCGTAGACGGATTAACACATCGCTGGTTGTTGTTGGGTCATTGGGTACCTGGGACCTCACTGTGTGAAGGTTAACTTGGGTACGACTCAGCTGTTACTGTTGAGTTGTTCTCACTGACTTAAGCACTGTTCACCACTGTTCACCTCTGCTCAACACTGGTTCCAATTCTTTCCTAAATGAACTTGTAACTTCTGGCGAGAACTTGTTGATATTCCGGTGGGGAGGAGGGGTTCAGGGGATGGAGTTGGTATGGGCCAACTTAACAGTTGACCTGGCTGCTCCCAGAGGAGCGCCAAGTACGTCTTGACCCTTCAGTGGTCACGGATGAAGTGTGTGTGTGTGTTGTACAGGTATTCTTACTAATGACAAGACACGTGAAAAGTTCTACCATACACACACGTCTTTCTTTGTGTACAGTAACAAGAATGTATTTGAGATGTCCTTAATTAGTGACACATACAGTACAGTTATTTCTTGTCCAGAACACACTTAATAAAACTGAGCTGCAGGGAAATTCAGATACACAAAATTTAAGTTTGAAGCAGATGTTATATATTATTTACTTATATGAACTGAGGGGACTGGCAGGGGAGACGACAACATGATGAATTATTTGAGTTAGGATGTGATGGAGTGTTTGGCACAAGATAAGTGTACAAGATGACATGACACAACTCTGATGACAAGTACAAATACACACACTTGCTCACATTGTACATTCAATATACCAGTACATAGTTAAATGTTAGCCTCTACAGTGCATCAGTGGTTCCCCAAACAAGGAGGTTGGTACTGGCCAGAGGTAAAACATATGTATTGACATTCTTTTTCCTCTATTTGGAAATTTTCAGTAAAATTCTGGAACAAAACTTTTTTCTTTGTATATTTCAAATTTCCCCACATGCACAACATACGTGGATAAAATAATACGAGTTAAATGATCTTGAAAGCAATGTAAATATAAGTACAGTATAGGGTATAAAATTATTGAAAGTTGATTAAATTTATTAAAAAAATTTGGAGGGACATGAGGGTTTGGTCAAAAGTTTGGGAACCACTGCTCTACATTGATTCAGTTTGTATAACACTAGAGTATATATTCTTGAGATGTTTGACCTGTTCATTTACAAATACATTATAACATTTTCATTACTACCTTTTCTTGTGGTTCAGAACAAGGTGATGGACATATCACCAAGCAACAAGCGACCTGTAGGTGGACTCAATTTAGGCCCAGCACCCACAGAACCAGTCATAGTCCATGCAGGAGTGATAACCACACTACTTCATCTCCTGCCTTCTATACAGCATCCCACTAGCCCCAAGCTGGCATGCCTTCTTCAGCTATATACAGCTCATCTTATTAAGGTCAGCAGAGACTTTATTTAAAATGCCTTCCTGGTGGATATGGTGATAAAACTATGAATGCATATGTTAATTAAAATTGTCAAGAAGTGTCTCATGAATGTTGTTATGTAATAGTTTTATTGTTTCATTCTTTGCCTCAGATCAGATTTTGTAATCATCGGTAATTTTTTGTTAGGTATCTCCCTCTTTGTACCGTGTATTGTTGATTTAACACTTGTTTTTTCATGTTGACAGAGTCTGGTGAGAACCGAGCGTAACCAACAGTTGATGTGCGAGGTTGGTTTGGCTGGAGACCTTCTATCCAGGTGTTCCAAAGCTCTAGTAAATGAGAAGCATCCTCTTCACCCACCATTACAGTATATTTTCGAGAGACTTGCAGCTCAGGCCATACATCCTAGAGATCTCAGGTACTTACAGATATTTCAGTTAATCACATTATAATAACTAGTCATTTCACTGTTTTATACGATGGAACAAAGTGTACACAAACCAGAAAGAAATGAGTGAATAAAATACCAGAGAAGGTTTATATAAAGAATTAGAAATATTCCACACTCACTTAATCATGTTTTGAACTTACAGATGCAGTATACAAAGTGCATCCTCAACCCCTTGTATAATGGGCTTTCTCTGTGCTCAATAAAATCATCTCATGTTAGCCAAATACAATAATGGAAGTGTTGTCCTTGGAGGGAAGGGGTTGACCTCATAGGATAAAAGCAGCTGTGTTTTGTAGACTATTTCTGTTTGTTGTCTTAGTCCTTCTTGTTATCCTCTGACTATATATCCCACAAAACAGATGTTGGAGTTCTTTCACTCATACACACTACCTTGGAGCTGAGTGAGTCCATATTGGAAGAGATTTAGTGAATTTGATTTTTTTTCTTCACATTTGATTGTATTTTTTTTTCTCTTTTTTGTTTGACCAGAATATTCATAAGACTCGGCAACCCACTGAACTGCCTAAATCTGGATGATGTATACATTGCTGCTGGTCACTCCACCTACAATGGTCCGGTCCCTCTCACCCGCATCAAAACTCTCGTCTCCATGACAACTCCCCGAGACTTCAGGTGAGTGACTCTTAGTATTGACTGGCTTGGGATTCTACATTGACCATGACTGTCATTACTCTCTCTCTCTCTTGGGCTGTCTCATCCTTGCAATAAATGCTGTCTACTTGGCTACTCTACTCTGCCCTTGTCTTTCTCATGATATCTTACCTATCACCGGAATATCTAAGTCTGGTATTATAAGAAAGTTTTAATGAAATTAGCCTTATTGGTTATGATGAATTATTAGTAGAAATGGATTTGTACTTTAGAGAGTTTTTCAGGGTTCTTAGTGTTGCTTTATTTACAGTTAATAAAAAACTCCTACAGTTCTGAGGGTATAATAGAATGTATAAGGACTAAGTTGTTTAGGAGGGAATGTAGATGTTAGTTCTGTATTGTCTTTGCATCATCATTACAGCTGTCTTAACTTTGACCTAGAACTTAATTTATTACTGTATGTCTAATATGTTTCAGGTTATTAACATATTGATATAGTACACTGTCTCTTCTTATGTATCATATAACTTCTTCACAGAGTTGGCACCCTTGTGTATCCATCGTTCATTGAGTTTGATATGAGCGCCGAAGGTTTTGGGTGCTTGTTTCTGCCCTCAATGGCACCACAGAGTGCTGGTGGAGGCTCAGTGGTTGGAGCTGCTCTATCCTCCACAGAACCAAATGTCATTGGTGGCATTGGTACAGGTGTGTAGTTGCACCTTTTTCCTATTACTTTCTACACTTGTCGTACACCACACTTCCCTCTCATTAGCCACCTTGTTGTGAAACTGTGAGAGAAGTAAGATAATAGATAGGTCTGAGAAACACATACAGCAGAAGGACCTCACACAAAGTAAAGAAATATAGACAAAGCTACAGTATTGTCAGTGTTCATGGTTGAGACAAGAGCAAGATCGTGGGATAAGTTAACCTATAAATGGCAGCCATCATCAGTGGATGTTGGCTGTATGGATGACAGCCAACATCAATGGATGTTTCATGTTCTTGTACAGTATTCCAGTTTTTACACATATAGGGACAGAGGAGAAAATTCCTTATTCACTGTTTTAAGAGTTAAGGGGTGGCTCCTTTTCTCCTAAACAAATATATTAATTAGTAGTACTGTATGTAAATCTTCTTTTTACCCCGAGTCTTGCCAAAGATTTTCTTCTGTTGTTGCCCTTCTACACTTGTCTTACTTCACATATTCTTCATTATTTTACTACAGTACAGTATTTACATAATTTTTGACACTTTATTGTTTTTCCTCCTCTTCCTCCTCCTTTGTTCAGACCATAAAGTATTAGGAACATGTTTTTCAAAATGGTCTTAAACTGTGTGATTGATTTCGTTTTTTGAATACATTACTATAATATTAGTTGTACTGTAATGTACAGTATTGTATAAGAATTGTCTTTGTATACTAACTTAAGCTGTATTTTCTTCCAGGAGACAGAATTTTCCCACCTCAAACTGGCCTGACATACAGCACCTGGGTGTGTGTTGAAAAATACAGTGACCCCAGGACTGACCCCCACTGTGTACGTGTGTTAACCCTCGTCCGACACGTTCCCGGCCGCGATCATCACCTGGTCTGTCTCTCGATCGTCATCTCTGCGAGGGACAAAGCACTTATTGTGTCTACACACGAAACAAATTTCCCACAGCCAGGACAAGGTTTGTTGTTAATTATAAATTTTTCATTATTTTCATTGTTAGAAGTGTTTTATTTTATGTGAATTGCTAGTTAATGTTATGAATTATTTATTTATTTATTTATTTATTTCCATTTCCATTCTAGGTGTGACAGAGTGGGAACCTGAAGTAGTTGGTGACTTTGGATGTCGTGTCTGGTGTCCTGACTTGTTAACTGAAGGTCAGTGGCATCACCTGACTGTATCGTTAAGTCGTTCAGTGCTCAAAAATTCCTCACTCTGCATCTACATTGACGGTCAACTTGTTACTCAAAAGAAGCTTCACTACATCCTGCAAAATCCTGGCGGAGGAGCAGCAAACCTCACCATCGCTTCCTCCGTATACGCCTACATCGGTACTCCTCCAGCATACAGAAGACACTCCAGACTTGTGTGGAAGCAGAGCTGCTGTCACCTGGTGGAGGAAGTGTTACAACCACAGATGGTCAACCAGCTCCACCAACTTGGCCCTCACTACACCGGTTCCTTACAGGCAGCGCAGATACCTGGTAGGTTTTGGGGTGCCGGTGATTTCCATTGGGTAAATTAATTGTTGTCTTTGTGTATTTTGCAACAGAAGAATCCCCAAGTGGAAAGCAAATATGATATTACACAGCAGTGTTTAACAGTTTGTGCATCATTGTGTAGCAAGTTGTTTTGTTCTTTCACCACAGTTATTCATCCCTTGGTTCTCTGACATGGGTCCATACCTGCTGACATGTATGATATACTTATTCTAGAGTCCTAGACTTTGTTTTATTGAAATAGACTATTTTATGAACTTAATGAGACAGTAAGAAAAGAAGAAATTAACTTAAATTTTACCACAAAGGTGTTTGTTTTACTAATATTTATCTTCTTTTACATACCCAGTAAGTTTTCTCTGACAGTCTGCTGATGAATCATGCCACTAAGCTTCAAAATTTTATTAATTTATTTCTCATTTTCAGGTGTAGATAGTCAGATTTCACAGTCAGTTGCTGTTGTTCCTGAAGAAAAAGTCATATTTGGTTTAAATGCCACGGCAATATCTCACCTCACGTTGAATAAGATCAGAAAGATGTATTCCAAGGTGGACAACAGAGCAATAGCTAAACAGGTCTGTAGATGTGTCTCTTCCTTCACATTGTCTATTCAAGATTAAAATATTTTGCTGTACTTTATAGTCAGAATTTTTTGGGGTAATACCTATTAGGTTTTGGGGAGTAACAACGGTGAACTAGAAAGATGTACTGTATTAGGTCTTATTGTGAAGGGGTGACCATGGGGGAACACTGTTATGGTAGCAAGAATGAACAATTAACTCTTAAATGGCAGTCATAATTAGTGGATGTTTCATGTTCCTTGTGTTCCATTTCTTGCACATATGTGGTTATTGGGAGAGAGTGTGTTTGTCTTTGATTACAGGCAGCCTCCATTTTTGGCAAGAAAAACCTTGACAGATTTAAAAACAAAATAGTTTAATATACACCAGAATCTTATAGGCATGATATGATGGCTAGTAGACGACAGTCATTGAAATACTATGCCCTGTATATAGAAATGGAACGTATTGATGGCTGAGATTTATTACCCACAACTGTATATCAGATATCTAATTTACTTCATGATTCAGCATGGTATGTCTTCACACGAGAATGCCACCCCCATTCGTGTCCTGCACAACTCAGCTGCTCATCTGAGTGGGCCCTCTCGTTCCCTGGGAGGGGTAGTGGTCGGTTATCTCGGAGTGAGGGTCTTCTGTCCGAGGCCTGTCGCTGCCATGCTGGATAATGTCGGTGGATGTTCTGTCCTGTTGGGTAGGTGTACAATGTTGGTTGACTCTTTTAACCCCTTGTGTATGAGGGTCTCTCTCTGCTGAGTAAAATTGTCTGATGTCTGCCACATAAAATGTTTAAAGAGGCATCTTCAAAGTGATGGGGTTAACTAAGACTTCATGAACTTGATGCTCTTCCCAGGTAATTTGTAATATGCTAACAGGTCTACAGGGGTCATTACAGTACCCAGGAAATCCCCTCGGCAGTGCTGGCTGGTACTAATCTAATGATGAGTTAAACCTTATTCAGGATAAAGCTCAATATGTATACAGACAACACAGGTACACTTTGCAGTGTACATAGACAAGGCCAGTTTTCAATTTCTAATGTATTTAGACAGTGTCAGTATACAAACTTGTACATAGACAGTGCAGATATACAAGCAACAATAACAGTAATGGAATTCAACCAAGGATAACCAACAAAGCAACCAGAGAAAGTCCTTGAGGTTTTAACCATTGAAACTGTGATACATAAATACTGATGTTGACAGAATATCCAAACAATCCAATAAAAATTACACTTAACAGAAACTATTAAGCTTCACTTTTCTTTCTCAGGTTTGGTCGCCATGTCCAAAGATGTGGAGTCCTTGTATGCATCGGTTAAAGCTCTTTCTTGTGTTATTAAAACCAGTAAAACAGGTAAGAATTATTTCTCCCTAGTTTGTGTGGTTAGAATAGGTGGTATTTGGTGGTAATTACATGGTACCAGACTGGGTAGTAATTGGTTGGTACTTTTCAAATATGGCTGAACTTCCATTGGTTAGCATTTGGTATATTATCCAGCACCAAGAACAACTTAAAATGGAGAAACCAGCCAGATACCATTTGATCTTCAAAGGTCTATACAGTACAGGTACTGTATATTGTACCTCGTGTCTACACCATAATGTACTCGAACTTATATTACAATACTTGTTTCCTATTACTAGAAATTCTATAGCCAATACATGGATAATTATAGTACTAAGATGGGCCTTTGAGTTAAGTGTTTGGAGAACATTTAGTAAGTCCCCTCATTAGGAAGTAAAGAATGTCAGATTAAGCTCTTTTGCACTGCTATTACTGCTACTTAATATATTACAGTAATAAGAATGTCTGCCAATCTGTATGTTTTTTATCTTTGTGTAGGGGAGTCCGGGACACAGATATATCAAGGCAGGAGAGAAATAAATGTGAAGTGAGGTAAATCAAACATGGAAAATGATAGGAATGATTTAATTAGGAATAAGAAAAAGATTCTCTCGTTAATTATACGTGGGATTATATTTTCCAGCTCAACTAGAGATGAATCAGAGTTTGGGATACCAGACATTGGCGCTTCTGTTACGGAAGAAAAAGTCACTCCTCAACTCACACATCCTCCACCTGTGCATGACTCTGGCGGGTTCTGGTGAGGCTCGGGAGTCCTCGGCCATACCTAACACCCCTGCCTTTAATGACCTTCTGTGTGACCTGGAGGTGAGTAATGTATCAAGGCCAGATATACTTTAATCCAGGTTTTCTTATTGATGAATTGAACTCAGTGGTTTATGTGCCTCAGTTGAGTAAGTTTAATTTCCATTGCCTCAATTTCCTGTATCCCGGTTCTATATTTTTACTTTAATATATTGGCATCTCACATTACAGTACAGTACTTGAAATATTGCAGTGTACAGATTGTGTAAGCAGTTTATGAGAATTATGATTGTTCTATGATAGTTCTCAAACATATCTTGCAATGTTAAAAAAATCATCTATGCATTGTTATGAATATGGTTATCATAACCTCTATGATATGATTGAACTTAAATAGAGCACGAGCCATGAAATCAGTGATACACTTGTCACGTACGAGGAATGGAGGAATTACGTAGTCCTCTGCCCTTATACCTGGTAAAGTGGCTGGTGCATTTTGTGAGCTGTGGCATCTCTGTGGAATGCTTATCTAGCATCCTTAGTCTGATTACTACTACAACATCCCTGAGGGCCATTATGGGAGTTTTAATATAATATTAACAAACACAGAGTTGCCACCTCTCAGAAAATGCACCAGCCACTGTACAGTACCAGGTATGTATAAGTGTAGGTGAATGAACAAACATTCAGAAAGTGTAGGTCCACATTTAGAGAAAAGTGTTGGGTGGTTTATGGGGTGGCTGTGCTGTCTGATGGTGGCTGGTGCCGGGTTACATGAAGTGGTAGGACTATAAGGAACCTTTGAGCCTTGTTGTGGAAGGGGAACATATAGCAGAGAATGAATGACAGCAGATATACAGTAATAATTATACAGCCACTCCTTGACTTACGACGGGGTTAGGGACCCAAATCCAGGTCGTAAGTCGAATTGGTTGTAAATCGAAAATGCAAAAATAATAAATAGAAAATCCAAAATGGGTGTCTCTTTTTCTTCTCAGCACCACAAAACTCTCACTTTTAAGCTTGCCAGACATTTTAAAGGGAATTACAAACGAAAATTTTGTCAGTACACAGCGCAATCACTAACGTCGGGACTCGATAATACGTAATTTGAAAAAAAAATTGGTACGACTGGGACGGTCGTATGTCTGGGTGGTTGTAAGTCGAGGAGTGGCTGTAATATTTAACTGTTTATTGGGATAACATGGCAACCAAAAGGCTGCAAATATACAATAAAGAGAGATGATAAAAATGACATAATGAAATTGGGGAATGAGTCACTTGATTAACAGAAGCTTTCAATACAAAAATAGAAGTAATATGGGGGAACAATGTGAACATACGTACTGTACAATTTAACTTTAGATATGGAAGTAATCTCATTGATCGGAGGGCAGCCGGTCCTGTAAACTGCCTGGTACAAGAGGTGTGTGCATGTGTTGGTCTTGACTCCAGCCAGCCATCCTGTTTGGAAATATTTCCAAAAGTAAAAAACGAAAAAAGTAATTGTGATTTTCTTCCATGTAGGTTTGGTCTGATGCCCCTGGGGAGCTGTGCCGCACTCTGCTGGAACATTTGGTGGAGTTGGCACGTGAGTCAGGAGAGAGGCATCATAATGTTCGCAAAATGAGGTAAAAAGAAATTTCATTTTTAGAATCATAAAGAATTTCAAGTTTTCTCTACAATCCAATATAAGAGCAAGTACATATATAATTGCCTGTATATTTTATGTTTATGGCAGCTAACTCACAAAGTTTTAATGCATTGTTGTCAGTCCAGTAACATTGTCTTGTAAGTTTTTTCAAGAAAGATGTCTTTTTTTTCACAGGTCATTACGTTTGGTACAAAGGCTGTTATTCCTGTTGTGGGAGCAGTCACAAGGCAAAGAAGTAGCTTCCTCCTCTCCTTCAAACAGTTCATCATCTTCCACAAATTCGTCCTCCATGAACAACAACAACACCGCCACCATTGCAGCGTTTGCAGCTAACAGTAACCTCATGTCACTGAGCTCACAAACCACTTCTGTCATTTTCACTCTCCTCACAACACTGTTAGCCAATAATCCGCGTCAACAAGATCTCTTATGGTATGTATTCGGCGGGTTTTATCTTGTGATTTAAATGTTAGTGTGTATTTCCTCACATCAAAATATTGGTCATTGTAATAAGAGGTTTTTGGAGGGAGACATATGTACTACTGGTGTGTGTCACTGATGTGGTGTGTCAGGTGACCAGCAGGTGAACCAGATAAAGAACCTCGGCCTTGTTGTGGAAGAGAACTCTGTATAGAAGAAGAATACATTTGTTTAGGTACTTGCAGGTAGACTGAATGAATGAATGAGTTTTGTTGAATAGCAAAAGTGTAAAAGAAAATGATAAGTGTGTCGGTAAGATCAGATAATTTTAGTGTGATTACTCATAAAAGTGGATACAGCATTGTACTTTAAAAAGAATATTTGCTTATTTTTATATTAATTAATTTATTTATTATTCACTTCATTTTCAGCTTTGGGCAGTTCATCGTGTCAACTCTCCCAATCCTCAGTATATCCGAAAAACACATTGAGATTAAGACGTGTGGGGACGAAAAGGGAATGGAGAATGGGGATTACACCATCATGTCTGTGAGGAGTGTTCTGCTGAGGAACAAGTGTCTGGAGATTGTTCACACACTCCTCTATAACTCAAATAAGAACACCATACATTTAGGGTAAGTATTTAGTTATTTATTTACATTTTAGAGTAGTATGTTATGGAAATAGTTGTTTTTTCTGTCACACACTTTACTTCCCATGGTCCACAGTCTATGAAGTAAGGTGTCTGTATTATCTGTATTTCTTCATCCATCTCCTGCAGAAGTGAGAGTAAAGTAAAGGTATTAGACAATTACACTACTGTACTATGAATTCAGTAACAGAAGAGAATATTAATTGATGAGGATATAAAAAATGGATACTAAGGGTTAATGGGGATTTCTTTTGGGTTTGGTATATTTATTGATCTCATTTGAAAATATTGCTGAATTGATGAGTAAATATATATAATGTATCTGTGTGTCAGTGTAGGGAGTGGTGTAAGTTGCCTTGATGATGGTGAGTGGATGAAGTTCTCATTAGGAGAGCCACTGGCCTTCTTGTGATGCAGACGGAGCTGTGTAAAGTGATCATTGATTACTGTTATTTATGGCCTATATTAAGGAAGTGTATTTTGTTGTATGAATAATGATATCTGTTACAGCATACACTATGTACAATATATTTATGATAATTTTGTCATACACTATGTATATTTGTTATGTTTGTTATATGCATATTTATGTTATCCTTATTATATGTATAGTACAGTATTTACATTACCATATTCTCCTCCAGGTTTTGTGAGGAGGTGGTCAAAGTCTTGGGGCTGGACTGGGTACTGTTGTTCGCCCAGGGTCACCTTCACCCCTCCACCGTCCTCATCGCCCTGCGCATGCTTGTGGCTCTGCTGTCTAACTCGGGGATTTTGCAGAAATTCCGAGATGCTTCCCAGAATGGTGGCTGGATGATTGATGCCCACCAGGTTACTAACAACAAGTTTGGTCAAGTACTTGGTATGTGGTGTTTATTTGTCTTTGTACTGTGGCTGTGTTTGTGTGTCTTTATTATTATGGTGTATAAAGGTGTGTGTCTTTATTATTATGGTGTATAAAGGTGTGTGTGTCTGTGTCAGTTGTACCTTACTCTGTCAGGGAATATAGCTATAGGGTCTTGTGATGTCAGAGGCAGGTTTCATTAGACTTTTACTAACTATGGTTACCGGCCTTGTGGACCGTAAGAGACCCCAACTCAGTATAACATGATCAGTCCGAGGGTGTGTCAGTCCTAATGTGTTTCTAGCACTTTGGTCATGTTGGGGCCAGCCTATTGGGATTAGTTTCCTTAACACCTTGAACCTTAACAGTCATTTTTTCATCAGCCATCTTTTAAATTTTAGATTCCTATGTAATGCTGTAAATTCAGAGTCTTGAAAATTTAAGAGATCTGGGACTGGGATTAATGAGTAATAGGGTGTACAGTATGTGAGCAAATATAAATCTAAAATTACCTTTTTGTTTCTGTAGCAAAATGAAATAAGATTTGCTTTTGTAGATGTAATTAAAGATATATGTGTAAGGGTAAGTCAGTCTGTCTCATTAAAAGTTTTCTTTGAAATTTAAAAATTTTCAAATCATCCATCAGTTTTAGATGGAATTTCTTGAAAATTGATGTAAATTATGTATAATATTCATATGGATCAGTGATTTACTTGTATCAAATTAGTTCCACTCTGATTATGGGAGGAAGTAAGTACTGTATGACTCTATGTTGTGTAATATGTTACAGCTAAATATGTCGCCTTCAGTGAACATTTATAGTACATTTTAATGAATACAGAAATTCCATATACTGTACCTTGTAAATTATTGTATATTTCAGGTTACTCTGTTGGCTCTGTTGTGCGTTCCTTGAGTGAGATCCGCGAGGAGGCGTGGCACATACCCGGGTTCCAAGTTCTGACATGGCTTGTTCCTCGACATATTCACATCCCACAAGTATATTACCTACTCTTGGCACTGCTTCTGGGACAGCCTGTCAAGAATGTTCAAAACAACACCAAGGTCAGTATAATGAGGCTAATGGTAGTGTGTTTTGTCGGGGGGTCGGGAGGTAGAGGCTAATGGTGTTTTAACCCTCTCAGGCACTCGACTAGGTTTTAAGTTTCTGTGACTATGACAAAAGTCATATGGGACCACTTACATGAGGTTTGGCCATCTTCATTCTGCAGCCAATTTATCCCACAAGAATATTTAAGAAAAATTTTATCACTGGCTATATTATTGTTTTGGCTTCAACACAGTCAGAAAAACTAAATAAGATGAGAATATGACTATATTTTTTCTCACCAAATAAACAGGAAAAGATATTGTGGTCCTAACATCATATAATTGATATTTCTCACGAATCTACCAAGTTATTTTCATACAGTAGTTATAGAAGCAGATTTTTATGAGCTTTCCAGAGTTGGCTTTTGATGTAACTAATTATGGGGAGGGTGGGAGAGGAGATAAAGGGACAAATGAGACCTGCCAACACGGCTGACGGGAAGACACCGATGGACAGCGGAACTCTAACCACACTTTGATACTTTCTGAAAGCTTCCCTCACAAGTTCATGCAGTCATCTATGACACATGGAAAGACCCCTGTACATCACAATTATCTTTTTTGGCAAATTTTGAAACGTTTAATGACGTGATTTGCCTCACCGATGCAAATAGTGCTACCCAGTGATTTGGCGCGATGCATGTCATGATGTGTGAGTGTTAATGGAATATCTGTAAGGTTTTATTTTCCTTATTTCATGTCTTGTTATCTTCTACATCATATTACTCGTACTGTACATTTTAAGGGCATTGCATTTGTTGCTTTTAAGGTACATTTTTAGATACCTGTACATGTTTATGTATGTTTATCTTCAGCCAGATCTTGAAAGTACAGTATTTGGACCTTTGTGTTTGTGTAGTGCCAAACATCCATTTTATATTGTGTGTGTGTTCCTTTCCAGTTGGACCTTGATAGTATTTGGACGTTTGTGTTTGGAGTGCCGGCCAGCCAGTGTGCCACGACCATTTCTGGCCGTGTGTCTCTGTGCCCGGAGGCTGCCATCGCCATTCTCGCCATGGTGCGAGCAATGCTCAACCAGGAGGAGAAAGGGTTTGTACAGTGTTTACATTCACTAAAATAACACCATAATTTTGTACTATAGTTGTTTTAGTTAGTTTATGTCCCCAGATTTAGATTTATTGCACCGAAAGAATTTATGAGAAATGAATGTGGTCACCTTTGGCAGCTCACCTTAGCATATGAAATTAATTGCTTTTAAGCTTTATAATCAGTGTGGAAGACAATGATTACTTTGTATGATAGTTGATGATACTGTATGAGGAAATGTGCATGAAATGTTTTACCCACTGCATCTGACCTTCCCTGTCACTCAGTAGCTACACTCTTCTTGCTCGTCTCTCATTAGTATTTCCCTGTCTGTATCCTGTGATCCACCTCATGTACATTGCAGCAGATAAAATTTAACAGCTAAATAGAAATAAATGGGACTATAATATAAATGAAGCTGCATGAGTAAGAAGAGAGTATTAGTGTGTGACATAGCAACAAGTTGACAGGAGGCCTCTAATGCCCACAGAGACTGAGTCCAAATTGTAATGGGCCAAAACCCTAAATGTTTACCCCAGTCAGGCACCCATTAGGACTAAGGCTCGCAGGATCTACAGTAGTCATGTTTGAAGTGTTTATGCAGGTAAATCCTTTTAATCAGTTAGGCTATTTTTGTTTTCTCATTGTTGTTTATTATAGTTACCCAGCATGCATTACCTTTTTTGTTTATTATCTTTTTGTTTTAGTGTTTGTATTCCTTGTCCTGTTCCTCTCATACAGAGGCTAGGAGAGGAGGGAAGATATTATTAGAATTAGAGATGGATAGAATTGTAAATATTCTGAGTTTTTATTTATTTTGTTTATTTTAGATGTCCATAATTTAGTTCAAGATAACCCAGGTAATGTTCCCTTGTTCTTACCTGCCTGTAATAATATTTTGTGTACCAAGTAGATTTTTTAATTACTCATTACTCTTACAGGTACAGTAAAACCTTGATAAGTCAGACTCATTGTGGGTATAAATGAGGTTATATAAGAAAATCAGTTTATAAAAAATTCTATGCCTTCCCCAAGTTACAAAAGACAGTACTATTTTTAACTAATGAAAGTTTAGAAATTAAAATTGAAAAGGTATTAATTAGCCTAAATAAGAATTGATTACAGACGTATGAACTAACAAGGTTTTGCGGTACTGTATACTAAAGGTATACTGTATGTACATTATTACTAACTTGACAACAGCAGCACAGTATTTGGTTTGACTTCATCATTCGTCCTTTTTTAAATATTTTTTGTTCATTTCCCCCTACAGAGAATTTATCAACGCTTCATCATCAAAGAGCACGTAGGTTTTTTCTTTATGTTTTGTGTTTTATTTCTGTGTTGATTTTGTGTTTCTTGTTGTTAATGAGTGTGTGTTGATCGCTATACTGTATATTGCTTATTGGCTTATGAGTGCTTAACACACACACACACACATGCACATACATATGCATGCACACACACACACATACACACACACATATTTACATGAATATGCTTAGTAAATATCATAAAAAAGGTAACCTCTTAGCTATGTGTCATGATATACATAGCCATTAATGCCATTATTTGTATATAAATAAAGAAAAATAAAAAACTCATTAATTACCATCTTCAAGTAACAGAGAAGAGACAGACAGGTGTAAGTCTCTCATGAAATAAACAAAACATAGTACTGTACAGTACAGTATTGGGGAGTTTAATACACTACATAATATAGATTCATCTGACCATCTTGGACTGTGTTGGTTATGTGGAACATTTACTTCTCCTGGGCTAGCAACGTATGAAATTTATTTGTTCACAATTTTTTTTTACTTGCCCTGACAAATTTTCTGAGAAAATTTCTTTGCCCATATTTTTTTAAAGGCAAAAGTTAAAAAAATTATCTTAAAACATTCAAATTTATTGTGTGTGTCAACTCACAGTTGACTTGTGTCCATCTAAATGGTGTCAGTGGCAGTAACCCTTGTCATGTGATGTCATAAATTTTTTGTGGGTGGAGGTGGTACTTATGATCATCTACTCTTACTACCCTCACCCCCCATAATTTGGTTTCAGTGGCAGTAGCACTTGTTATGTGAGGTGAGGTCATAACTCCTGTCACCTCATGTCTACAGCCTCTCAGCTTGGCAGTTCCTTTGAAATGTTGACAAGTTGGCTGACTGACTTAATATAGAAGTAAATTACGTGCACATGGCTGAGGTCACTAATCCTGGTACACTGATGACAAGCGGCCCATTGACGGACCTCCCTGGTTAAACAAGTAGGGTGAGGTGGAGTGATGCGCCCATGGACACCAAAAATCATTTGCCCTGCCCCTAGTCTGGGCTGTTGGGCACTGCTAATCTTCATAGCCTGATGTATCAGGCAAATTAAATACAGGTTGCCCTTGTTTGTTTCGGGAGGGGCAGGGGAAGGTCCTGTATAAGGGCTGAGATAGGGAGATCCTAGATAAAGGTTGAGAAGGGTCAGGTCCTAGAGAAAACTGGTATAAACAAATTCTGGACAAAGGCAGATAAGTAAGTTTCCATGGTAAGAGGGAGGTTGTGTATCTAACCACTGCCAGAGTCTTCCTTCCAATGAGGGTTCTGTACTGTGTTTAGTTATCATTCATACATTAAGAACAGTTTAATGCTAAATATGTGTATGTTTTATTGACTAAACATTGTAAAGGATTGTACAGTGATATCTCCACTAGCCGGAACAATTGGTGCAAAGCACTTCTGGGAATGAGAGATTTCCAGGTAACGAGACGACTCTCTTGAAGCCGGAAAAATCCCCCATCCCTGGAATTTTCTGGGTAACGGAGAAAATTTTCTCGGAATTTCCAGAAAATTTGCCTGATTTTCATCTCTCAAACCCGGAAAAAAAACTTCCCCATCCCCAGAATTTTCCGAATACCGGGAAAATTTTGTCGGAATTTCCCATAAAATGTGCTCCTCGGAAAATCATTCCCAAAGCCTTAATTTTCCGGAAAATTACGGCTTTGGGAACGATTTTCCGAGAAAATTTCAATTCCGGCTATCGGAGAGTTCTGGGTTTGAGGGATTCCGGCTAACGGAGATATTACTTACTCATTAATGCATGCTTGATAAATAGATAGATACCTTGTAGCGATAGATATGATAGATAGATAGACTGACCAATTAATTTTCTGGATGAGGAGAGGCTGGTATTAAGAGGTCCATCAGTAGCTTCAAGCAACTGAGACGTGACCACCTCTTAATTAATGCCATCTCTCCCGGATCCATCAACTAATTGTTAAGTCTGTGTAAATGAGGGCAGCGTGCATGATACGGAGAGGAAATACAAGTTAATATAAGGTCAATTTTTTATTCAAGAATCCTAAATAATTACTATAGTTTAGGACGTGCAATAGACAGGAACAAAAAAAGTGTGATCTTATCATTGTGAACAACATATATGTTCTTTGCAATGATCAGACTTCATTCATATTGTTTATTGCATGCCCTAAAATATAATAATCATTTAGGGTTCACGAATAAAAAAATGATTGTAAATTTGATTGATTAAAATTATAATACAATAGTCACATTTTGGCGATAATTAAAACATTAAAAAAAATTATTTTACAGAAAGGAGCTGCCAGAATGGTTGCAGAGTTACCCAGTTACCCTTATACAGTTCTTAAGGTTCCTGTACCAGCAAAATGGAGACTTCCTGCCAGTGTTCCTCTCAGGGGATGTCCTGGCAGCTCTTGCCTCCACACTCTTCCCTTACACTGGTTCATCTGAGCCCCAGAGCCTCACCTCCCCTGATGATGAAAAGGTTGGTTGTTCTTGATAAACATGAATGATTTGTCTCTCACTGGTTTTTTTTTTTCACTATTCCATTTTATGTTTGTCTTCTGTGTATGACTTTATTTTTGTACTGTTTACTGAGTTTACTGATACCATCAACAAAACAGGTTCAGGAAGAATATGCATTTGTCATGTGTCTTCAACAGATTTTTTCTGATTTTTTTTTTAAACTCAGGATTCATATTGTTCAGTACATAGTATAAAGACTTAACTACTGCTTGTGGGTGCTGCTGGGTTGTGTGTAGCAGGACTGGTGAACCAGATGGATATTTGAAGCCTTGCTGTGAAAGGGAAGAAGGCATTTATTATAGCTAGAAGAGTGAGTGAATGACAGAAAATAAAGAGTGGGTGTGTGTATTGTACATTTGCATATGCTCTTAATTCTGGACTCCTTGTATTAAAGCTAGTAAAGGCTTGTAAGAATATAGTGTACATACTGCAGCTGTAAGGTTCTCATAACTAAACCTTCCTCAGTTCATGTCCGGGGGAGACGTGGTGATCGTCAAGTGTGAGGTTGATGGGAGTCTGACCAACCATCCAGCAAAAAAACAAGTGATGGATTTCTTGAAAAACCTGGTGGTGGACTCCCTCTCCCTCCCTCCTGCTAGTAAAGGCCCTCACACCATCGACCTGCTGCTGGAGGTATAGTCCACACTTTTCTATGAGTCCACCTGGTTAAGTAACTCACCTTTAAAGCTTTTAAAGAGTAAAGACTGAAACATAAGTGTGATATATGATAATACAAGTAACAAAATAAGCCACTAAAGTTATCAGGTAAGTACTTTGATATTTGACTAAGTATTTTGGTATTTGCAGGCCACCCCAGAGAACAGCAGTGTGTCTCAGGTGTGTGAGTTCCAGACACAGCTGCTGGGTACCCTCATGGAGCACCTCTTAGATGCTGACATTCTCATTGGGGAAGGAGCGGCTCTGCCCGTGGTCGCTGGAGGCTCGGTCCAACACATTGCACCCAACGTCTTCTATCTGGCTGCCAGGATTGTCGACAAACTGTGGGCAGGTCATTAGTAGTGTTTTTAATTTCAGTTTATATTGATAGTATCCTGTGTGTGTGTGTGTGTAATAATAATAATAATGATAAACGGTTTATTAATAGAGTTGCAGCCGGTGGCTGAAAATATGCAGACTTACATTTGATTTAGCCATAATGAAATAATATGCATTGAATACATTTACAGGGCTGTACAGTACATAAATCAGGAGTGTGTGCATGCATGCGTGCATTTGTGCATGTGTGTGTGTGTGTAATAACAAGTGTCTAAAGGAATTTTCTCTGTATATGATCTTATTAAAGAAGCAAGCATTTTAAAAAGAGAGAGAGCATATGGCTTGTAGGTCAAGTGGGCTCCAGTCCTCATCAGCTTCATCCTAAGGCAAAGATAACCTAGCCATTAAGATTAAGGCCCAGGATGATTGGGTACCATTGGGACTGAATTCAACTTGTAAAACTTGGCCGGATTAAGAGCTACTATGACTGAAGGTTCATTTGTCCAGTCATACGTTTGTAGTAGTGGCACCATACATTCTTATCTTGGAATCATTTTGGGCATGTCAACACACATCTATCGGTCACTACATTAATGGTTGATCTCTCCCCCACCACCATCTTGCATGCCTTCATCTGTTACGCTGCATAATATTAAATGATCTCTGGTTTTCAGGAGTATTCAACAAGGATCCCCACGAGGTGTTCGACTTCATCATCAAGCTCATCTCACAAGCTAAGCGTCGGGCATCGGGGATTAATTTGGAATCCATTTATCACTGTTTGAACCGCACCATCTTGTACCTGTTGTCCCGCCCAGCCGACTCCATCGCTGCACAGATGTCCATACTGGAGGGCCTGCACAAACTTACCACCCACAGGTGCCTCCCTCCTGTTCTGATGGTTAATGTTAGGTTTAGGTTAGGTTAGGAAAGCTTAAGTTAGGTTAAGTTAAATTAAGTTGCATTGGGCTGAGTTAGGTTCAATTGCATTGGGTCAGGTTTGGTTTGGTTTGGTTAGGTTAGGTTAGGTTAGGTTAAGAGGTTAGATTAGGTTTGGTTACATTAGATTAAGATAGGAGGTTAGGTTTAATTAGTTTAGATTATGTTAAGCTCTACTGTATATCCTCCAAGACAATGAATGATCTTTATGTTCTTAGAATGTTATGGTAGTAAGGTTGAAACACCAATAACTAACACCATTATTTGGTCTCTAGCTCTAAACCATAAATGTTGTAACATTTTCCTCTCACTACACTTCTTAAAATTGAAGATATTATTATTTGTCTCTGCAGGATTGTGGTGTTTGGAGCTGGGAATCATGAGCCGGAGTTTGTTGCGTGTCTCACCTATTGTTTACTGCAACTCACAGCCGATTTTAAAATAAAGTAAGTTGAGAATTGTGTTTCAGGCTTACAGGTTCAGCATTTGGAACGGATATTGAGTTTGTGTGACGGACTTCGATACTGTAGAAAAATCAAGTAAATTTGTAGGTACAGTCACCCACAAAAGTCCTGTCACCTCTCCTCCTGAACCATGAATCTCGATACTCAGACTCATGAACCTGAGGCATTGCTGTTCAGTCCATAAATGCTTCAGATTCACGAGTCTGATTCTTGGGGGTTTGTAGTTGAGGAGGAGAGACAACAGGACTCATATGGTTGACTGTACATTCACTTCATACATTAGATAGTGCTGATATTTTTGGGGAATTTGTTAGAGAAGAAGTGACGAGTTTTTTTCTTACTGTGTAGGTTGATATTTTAAAATTGGAAAGTCGGTAAAATCTGAAGAAGATCAAGTTTTTATCATGTACTGTATATGATACAGTCGTGTTATGAAATTTACCACAAGAATACAGCCACCTTTTGTTGGGTTCTGAGGTGCGGTTGAGTGATAGAAGTGAGATAGTTGATTCAGCAGTAATTGAGGTAGGACCATGTACTGAACTGTCTAGGAAGATACAGTCATCATCATCATCATCATCATCATCATACAATACATATCCTAAGAATTATCTAAAGTATCCGACATTACAAACACGAAAAGACAAGCAACAATCAATACAAGATAATGAACTAAATAAAATTAAGTCTGCTGCTCACCCATATACTGTACTGTGTATCATCAAGTCTCAATAAGTGTACTTATTCCTCTTCCATACCAATACTGTACAGTATTTTCACCTTTCTTGTCTTTCACTTGTCATTTTGAACTCTTAATCCCTTGTGTTAACCAAAGAAAGTATTAAAAGTACCATCCTGTAGTAAAATGGTTAATGGAGAGAATCTTATATTTTACAAAGATGATTTTTGGGGGGAAAATTTTGTATGAATGAATTATTTAACGTTGCATTTTTTTTTTTTTTAACAGCACCGACACAACTAATAGATCCATGTGGCACGTGAACCCCGTGGCAGAGGGCGTGGAGGTTGGTGAGGGAGGCAGTAAGGGCGGAAGCACGCCAGGGAGCATTAGTAGACAGGGTAGTGTGAGGGACTTCGCAGAGGCTACAGCCACCCAGAGTCACAACCTGATGACAACAGCAGCGACCAGGGTGTGGGAGGAGCTGTACATTACCAAGAAACCTGCAATTGAGGAGGTTAGTAATTTTATGGTGTTGATCATTTAAGTTAGCAGAGTTTGAGGCCATCAGGGATGTGTCAGTGAGTAGTTGTTATGATAGCAGGTGTTTGGTTTCCCTTTGTATTATTTAGTTGAGAGTATACCAGTAATCATATTGATGCTCTTCATGGTGGATGTGCAAATTCATGCATAACATTTAAGTATCAGATTAATTTATAGACAAAAATCCTTATTCACATGAAATAAATGTAAAGATCTTTATATACAAAAGCAAATATGTTGTGAGAACTTGTTTCTCTTTCTGATTACAGTATATAAATATTTTTTTTTTCAGGTGTTCAAGGTGTCACTCAGTGCAGGCACTGGTAAAGCTCCAGAACTTTCAAGTGTAAGAGACTTGGTTAACGAGGCATCACACAGACTCTGGTTGGGATTCCTGGAGGGAGAGAAGAAACAGTCCTACCGCCTTCCTTGGGAGATTCCCACACAGATCCAGAGTGTCACAAATGTAAGTCAATTAGGTTGGCTTAGCTTAGGTCAAGTTATGCAGCAGAATAATCCTTCCCTTTACATGTTTGATTTCATTAATGACCTTCTGATTCATCTTACTTGACTCTCCCATCCTGACTCCTTGTATCAGTGCCTTTGTATTATTTTCTTACCAAAGTCTATGTTTGTTAAGAATAAAATTATTTAAAGTGCTAAACATCACCATTTTCAAGTGAGAAAAGTGTGAGGTTTCCTGGACGAGACATATCCCCCCACCTCTCTCCCCTATGTGTGTGTGTGTACAGATTTTGTCCCACAAAATGTCCCCAAATAAAAGTCCTCACTATTGTATTCAAAGGTTCTATAAATACTATATAGCCTCTTGCTCATAAAGCCCTACCTGCTCATAAGACTCTTGGCTACTCGTTTTCTGTCTTGTTGTAATCCTTGTGTGATGTTTCATAATAATTATTTGTTTCTCTCACTTACAGAAACTCCAGAAGGTGACAGGAGGTTTGACCCGTTTGGCCTCGCGCACTAAAGGTCGTCGAGAGGACAGCATGGTTATCCGTAAAGTTAACATGCCCATGTCAGATGTGCAGATGGCAACTTTCACCCATATATCCATCATTGGAGACCTTGTAGACCTGCAGTACAGGCAGTACCTGCAGGTGAGGCACTTATAGTATTGTACTGTATGTTTCAATACTCTAATATTATATGAGTCCCGCCTAAATTTCTTTAAAAGGGGGATGATGATGATGATGATAATGATAATAATTATGATGATCTTTTCTATTTATGGAAATGGTTGAAATATTAATATGTATTCTATCAACATTTTTCAACCAAATTTTTTGTCAGAGATTTAGAAACTTGATCAGCTGACATTTGTCATTTTTAACCTTTTACAGAAACAGAAACACATGACGAGCTACGTGTGGGAGTCTTGGCAGCGGTGTGAGAGGGAGTTAACACGAGAACGAGGCCTCTGGGGGCCTATGAAGGGTTCCCAACTCGACAAGTGGATTCTGGACGCTACCGAGGGGCCGTGTCGGATGAGGAAGAAAATGGTTCAGAACCGACAGTTTTACAAGCACTATCCTTATAAGCAGCAACCTGAGAATTCTGAAAATGTGAGTTGGAGTCATTGCTCAGGTGTTATTATTATTATTATTATTATTATTATTATTACAGTATTTTATTAGTAGTAGTGCAGTATTATTATTATTAGTAGTAGTGGTAGTAATAGTACATAAAAGCCCAGCATGAATAGCGCAAGTACAATGAGGTGTAAAGGTGACATACCCGGTATACAAACCAAAAAATATGTACTAAAGGAAGTTATGTAGACAGTAAAAATCTCTTTATACAATAACACAAAAGATGCGACCTGAAAAAAAATGTTGGGTAGAGAGTTGTTCTTATTCGAAACTTATAGGTGCTAAGTTTATCGACTTGATAAGGAATGGAAATTTGTTTTGCCTTTTTTTCAAGATTTCTAGTTTGCTTCAAGGTTTTTATATTTTGCCATAAAATTATACAGTAAAACCCTCGATAAATTGTATGAATAAAGAGAAAACTGTACAGTACTATAAAGATAAAAATAAGAACAAATAAATGTAGGAGCATATTGTATGTGGAAGACGAATGTTTATCTGGGAGCAGCTGGCAGAGGGGTGAAGGGTGGGTGGCTCCCTCCCTCTCTCTCCCACAAGATTCCTTTTACACTTCTGCAATTCCACCACAATTTTCATATAATTTAGGATTATTTGATGCCAGGTTGATAAAATATTATCCTAAAAAATCAACTTTCCTGCAAAAAAGAATCCCACACTGAACAGGAGTCATTTCATACTCATTTGTTTACAAAGATGAAATGGCTGATCGCTTTACCACAGTGTCTGTCTTCAGCACTTAATAAATTAGTACATTACAGTTGTGTATTTATCACCACTTAATAAATACTATTGTAGTGTATTTATCATCACTTAATAAAAACTATTGTAGTGTATTTATCATCACTTAATAAATACTATTGTAGTGTATTTATCATCACTTAATAAAAACTATTGTAGTGTATTTATCATCACTTAATAAATACTATTGTAGTGTATTTATCATCACTTAATAAATACTATTGTAGTGTATTTATCATCACTTAATAAATACTATTGTAGTGTATTTATCATCACTTAATAAATACTATTGTAGTGTATTTATCATCACTTAATAAGTTATATTGTAGTGTACAGTATTATGCATCTGCATATACCCTGGTTTATTCATTAATCATTTGTCTAAGTACAAGTAGCCACATTGAGTCATCATATAACACTCAAAGGTAGTAAATAACGTTTTTAAGGAGGTATCTACATATCAAATACTATACAGTGTGTTATAGTGACCCCTGTTGTAAGCTTATCCTTTTATTTTCAAGTCTTATTACAAATTACATACAGTATTGTATTTTCCTCTATTACTAAAGATGTTATATTAATCTAGATGATAAACCATAAGAGGCCAATCATATGAGAATATAATACTGAATCAATAGATAAATAAACCTGATGAATGTGGCAACACCTGATCAGCCCACATACTCAAATGTCTTAGTTCTCAGTAGGCCTATAGCAAATCTGATTAGACCACTGTACAGTATTCAGTTAGTGTTGTTCATTTCATCAGATTATTTTTATTTAATCTTCCTCATTTCTTTATTTTTTATTTATTTTTAATTATATCTGGTGCCCAGAGCATCTCAGAGTCCGAACAAACGATTTTTTATATATTAAAGTCCGGTTTATTGAGGTTTTACTATTGTTTTCTAAAAATTATATTTGATGGTAAAATTTTCAGAGACAACTCAAGTACAAAGTAGCTACAAGCTTTGACAGTAAGGAGCACGCTGAGAGGCGAAGACCAGACGGCTTGTCCGACTCAGAGGTGCGGGAGAAGGAACCGGTGGTAATTGAGGAGGAAACAGCCAACATTGAGACTGATAATTTTGCTGGCAGAGAAGTTGGAGATATAGGTAAGAGAAATGACTTTCTGCTTATGTGATTAATTGATTGAGTAATTATGTTTATGCAAATGTAGTATATGTATGTATGTATGTATGTATGTATAGATATCTTGACTGGCTACTGATGGATAAGAAGAATATCAAAAGAATTAAACAAAGCTAAGAAATTTGGATACTGTCAATTGGCCGGGAATTGTTAAGACAAGAGGCCTCGAGTCATCTAGCTGTGGGATGATACAGGCTGAGGAGGAGAATGATTATGTTGATAAAACACATAAAGAGGTTCTCATCGAGCCTTGGATTGATCTATGATAATAATGTCATAAACCTGTATTAATAAAGAAAAAGTTAAGGTCTAATTATGCTTTTATATATTTTGAAGGTACCGTTATCTTTTGTATAGACACTAAGCAAATTATGGTGTAATTTCAAATAATGTGTAATAAAGTACATTAAAACCATATCTGTAGTTGATGATACTGTACTGTTGATATTTAATACTGTATTGAATTCTCCTTTGAATTAGATATGCAAGGACTGCAGGGTGCTCTAGTGAAGAACGGCGGCCTTAACAACCGTACGGCCTCGGAGACAGAGGACGACAGTGAGGGACTGGACATTGGGGACTTGGTCGGCCAGGACACCAACGCTCCCACAGATGACTCACAGAACCCTGATAACCAGACTCTGCTGCGGTTACTGGACTATGGAGAAAAGGTAAGAGACTTCCTCTGTGTCTGAGTGAAAACAACTTGTGGAAAACCTTACTTATGGCAGGAAGGGAGTCAAATACTTACTCTCACATTTCATAATGAGACAGACAACTCCCTTACCTTAAATATGTATGAAATTACTTAATAGTGTGTGCAATTCATTCACCATTTAGTCATTATATTTTGCTATCCATGTTTTTGAAATTATGAATAGCTAATTATTTTTGTTTTTATTTAAATTATTGTAATTATTATTTCCCCAGATAAGTCACATGTTCCGGTGTGCAAGAATACAAGGTTTAGACACCATAGAAGGTCTGTTACTGTTTGGCCGGGAACACTTCTACATTGTCGACGGCTTCACGTTGCTCAAATCTCGTGAGATTCGAGATATCGCGTCTCTTCCAGAAGGATCTCACGAGCCCATTGTACCTTCAACCAGCCCTGGGACTAGCCTAGAGCACCATGCCTGTTCTAAGTTCCACTATGATGAGATCCGGGAAGTGCACCAGAGAAGGTTAGTTGGGATCTTAGGAACTGTGCTAAGAAGTTCAGCATTTACTCTGTGTACAGTACTGAAGTGTATATGCAAGTTGAGGATGTAAGTAAATATGTGTTGGTAATTTTACTTGATGTCTCATTTCCTTCTTGTCACTTTGTTACATCACTTTCACTACCATAATCCCCCTTTGAGACTCAAGATATGAGGCAGGTGAAAGTTTGAATCAATTATTAAAGACCTACATTTTTCAAGGGGTGTGATGGACAAGTAGATACTGTACAGCACTTACCTTCTATTGATGGTTCGCTCCAGGGGCGCTACTAGTTCACCCAGTTGGGAAGTGAAGGCGGTATAGTGCATTGCAGTCCTGGCCATGCTCCTTTTTGTCAACTGAAGGCTTGATGTACCGTATTTTACGGCATATAAGATGTACATTTTTGTCTGAAAAAGGGCTAAAATAATCAGCCTGCATCCTATATATGAAGTTATGGTCTCCCTCAAGTTAATGAATCCCCTTGTTGCTGTCTCCAATAGGCTAAATTCTACTTAACTCAACTCCAGAATTGAAAATATGTTATTGCTTACTAAAACACATTATTATTATTAATTAAAAGATTATTATTGTAAATATAAAAGGTCTATCTATATCTACTCTGTACTGATGACAATAACCTGAGATGATTAACGTCTGTATGACAGACACCCAACTCTTCAGAGGTAGCTAAGCAGTTTCCATATCTGAACTCTTACAAGCATTACAATCTATTAATGCCATGCCTGCAACATTTATTTTTCAATCTACAAATTCCTGATACAAATGAAGATTTACAGATAACTTCCTTTTCACATTTGCATCTGTTAACATCGCTGGCGGCATTGTAGCCAGGTTAGACTCGTCTCTGTAACCACCAGGCTACTGGGCCAAGCTCTTGGTTTTTCAACTCTCATTTTTGGGTAGATATAGGTAACTTTCTTCATTTATTTTTACTGATATACATGCACACACCATCCTACATACATATTGTGAAAAAAGTAAAAGAAATAATTGTCCTAAGGGCAAACACATCAAAGGAATATACTGTACATGTCTTTGCACACGAGTTAGCTGGCTTAGTGGGGGAGCAGGAGGTCAGCTGGGCGGTTGGTGGTGGGGGAGCATTGCTAGAGAATCGGCGGAGGTGACATCGCCGTTGCTATGGTAAACAGGGAGTACGTACAGATGTACAGTACATGTATGTGCAAATGGCGACTGTTAAACTTTCATTTGGCTTTTGTTTACTGGTTTGGCAGTAGAGTAAGTTTTGTTGTAACTTACAGTATACAGTGGTCCCTCCATTAACGAGCACAATTGGTTCCACAGAGTTACTTGTTAACTGAAAGTCTCGTTAACTGAACCTATTATTTCGATGAGATATTGGGTAATTGGTTCTAACTCACAGAATTCCCTTAAAATTAATTAAAAATTACATACAAAGTACAGTACAGTACTGTATACCGGTAATGGAATTAACAAAACATTAAATATGAACAAAATACAGGTACTGTATACAATAATAAATAAGAAACAATAAAATATTTTAACACTTAATTTGAGGTGTGTATTGTTAACATAGCGGCAGCTCAAGCAGCTGATTGTGGACGCAGTCGATGATGACATGCCATACTCTTAACAGAGTGCATTGGTTCTAATGCCTTCTTCGTATTTCTTAATAATTTCTGCACTGTATATTTTCATTATGTTAACTAAATTTCAGAATGACCAATAATTTTAATGTAAAAATGTAAAAATATTCAAGAGCACAACTTTCTCAATGTTTATTCCACTGGAAACAAAGGTAAACATACAATACTATCGATTATTGGCTGACGAGTCGATCAGCTGATGGGCGCACTAAGACGTGTTTCTCATAAGGCTGTCGTTAATAGTATTTGTACTCCTTAATAGAACTGAGAGTCCTTACGGGAGCTAACTCGTTAACTGAAATCTCGTAAATTGAACCACTTGTTAATGGAGGATCCACTGTATATTGTTTTAAGAAAATTATGGATACAGGAGGAAAATACACACAAAAGTTTTTCCAAAATACTCCCTGCTAAAATGGGGGTGCATCTTATAGGGCTGTGTGTCTTATATGCCGTAAAATGCAGTACTGTACAGTGCGCTGTAGCCATACTGTTCCTAATAGGCTGTTTCATGGCTATGAGACCAACTTTTACAGTTAGTGAAGTGTGTGGGGGAAACAGTGAAACTTTTGTTGGAAGTATTTATTCATTATTGACATTCACAGATGATAGATAAATAATTGTATACTCTCCTCGTATATTTAGGAGGAGGATTTGGTGAATGATTAAACAAACCTATACAGTGACGAGTGTGGCAGAATGATTGTTTTTTTATTTAAGGCGTGGGATTTAACACAATATTCACTCAGTTACATAAGAACAAATTATACTTTAGCATTAAATTAATTTCAACGGTCTTTATTATTTTTTCTGTATTGGATTAATTGTATAACTTGTAATTGTGTATATTTCAGATACCTGTTGCAGCCCATTGCCTTGGAGATCTTCTCTTCTGACGGGAGAAACTACTTACTTGCCTTACCTAGAAAACTACGCAACAAAACATATCAGAGGTTTGTCTCACTAAGTCTTTTCTCTGTTGGTTTACTTTGGTTTGGATCTTGAGACAAGTGTGATCAAACATATTCACTGAGGCATCACCTTACCAAAGACTGAAGATATTTGAAGCACAAGAATTTTAACTAATGGAGGTTATATACTTGGCATAAACAGTATGGCTGGGAGTTCCACAATGGTTAGTCTGGGATTTAAAGGAGTTTTGGAAGGTAGAGGTTCAGCATAGAGGAACTTTAACATAAAAGCCACAGCCCTCCTAGGTGCTACTTATAGGTCAATGATGGTGACATTATTTGGTACAACTTGTGAGAACACTGACTGTGGAAGGATTTGTCCAATAGGAGAGTAATGAGAGATTCCTGCAAATGTGAAATGTTATAAAGTTTCTGGTAAGGTTATTATTGTTCATTTGTTTTGATGGGTCTTTTTTTCCCCACTTATTCAAGCAAGTTACACTCATTGTAATTATTCTTAATATTGTGTTGTACTGTGTCTTCTCATCTAAATTGTTCTGATATATTTTGTGTGTATTCCTTCTGTTTCATTATACACAAGAAACTGAAGCAGTGTCTCCTTCATTCCTAATCTTGGACACAAAGAAGACAACAATGATCAGGACAAAACATGAAGAAAAACATATCATTGTTTTTATCAGATAACCTTTATAAGAATCTTTTACTCCGCCTCATCAAATCCAAACCTTGTTCTGCAGATTGTTGATGGTGTGCACTGGGCTGGCAGACAATGCCCAACAATCAGTAGAGGGTCAGAGACGGTCAGCAAGTGTAGAACAAGCAGGGGGTCTGTTTTCTTCCATCATCGGGGAAACATCTGTTACACACAGATGGGTGGTAAGTTCATAACTCTCAGTATGTATAAGAGACATCAACATCACTTGTTGTCTCTGTAGCAGTCATAGATGTAATGGATATGTCCATCCCTGCTTCTCATAGATACATAATAATGATGTTATATTCCGAGTACAGTCTGTGTAGATGTAATCATGTAATTTTTTTCCCCTTTCAGCGTGGAGAGATTAGTAACTTCCAGTACCTGATGCATTTAAACACACTGGCAGGACGTTCCTACAACGACCTGATGCAGTACCCAATCTTCCCCTGGGTTCTGGCAGATTATGCCTCCGAGGAATTAGACTTATCAAACGGCACTACTTTTAGGGATCTCTCAAAGCCTATGGGAGCTCAGGTCAGTGTGGCAGTGTCCCTGAGGAAGACTCTTAACACACACAGTTTTATAAAAGAAAAAAACCCAGTTATATTAACATATAGTTCCCTGCTTTGAATAGACTTCAGTCAGGAGGATAGAAAACAGTCATAATGGATAGACTTATGTTGCTTCATTACTCTATAGCATTGAATTTAAACCATATACAGTATTACCCCGCTTTACACGGTTTCACTTCACATTCCGCGATTTCTCATTTACGCGGTACCTTGCCAGAACCGGACTTAGGACTTTCACTTTCCGCAGTGCATCTACTCATATATACGGTGAGGTATAATTTTTTATTTTTTTTATTTAGCTCAAAAAATTCATACAAATTACCCGGCCATAATATAATTTACATTGCTGGAATTCTTACAATATGATGATCATTTTGAATATAAACATCATGGAATTTGCATTAGACATACAAATTTTAGATCTAATGTAATAATTTGGTTTACACAAAGCAAATATTTTATCTTTTGTGCAAAATATATGAAGTTTACATTCAAAATATTCCCTGACCTGCAAGGAATCCAGAAATGTCAATTATATTATCCTAAATTTAGTCTGAGGTATTATTTATTACTAAATGTTAAAATCTAGTGTTTTCACCCAAACATTTCTCAGAGAGGTAGGAGCTAGTGAGCTGGGAAGAGGGGGGAGGGAGGGAATTTGAGTCCATTATTTGAATGGACATTAACCTGGCGACTGTATTTCTCTTAAATATTAATTGTGTGAGCATACCATCATAAAATTAAGATGTTATTTTTACTACAACATAGGTATTGTGTCAGAAAAAGTGGAGTTTGGGGGTCGGGCCAATCTCTATTGGAATTAATCCCATATGTTCTGTTGTTCACTTTACGCAGTTTTCACTTTCCGCGGTACCCCGTGGGTTCAATTGACCGCGTAAATCAGGGTACTACTGTTTATGTGTTTTGAGATTTATGTTGCCCATTATCAACATCAAGGTGATTAAAATTACATCATATAGTGATCTGTAAGACGTCACACAGGTGGCAGACACTAGAGATTACTGGAGGCTGTATTTCAGAGTAGGAAGATGATGAGTGACTCAAGAAGGGGAGTTCACAAAGGAACCACAAGACATTAAAGATGTACAGTATATACTTTACTGTACAGTATATAGATTGATAGTGAACTGGATAATTTGCAACATTTTAATTGTATTGTTTATACCAACAGACCCCAGATAGATTAGAGCAGTTTGCAAAGCGTTACCGTGAGTGGGACGACCCCTCGGGAGAGACCCCACCCTATCACTACGGCACACACTACTCGTCAGCCATGATAGTTTCTTCCTACCTCGTCCGCATGGAACCCTTCACACAGCACTTCCTTAGGTTACAGGTAAGACTGTATTAAGCTCTTGCAGTACCTCCCTCCTCTCCTTTTGAAGTGAAGTTTATGGAAATCCTTTGTATAGTGTACGTATGTGTATATTCAAGTTTATAGTATGAGAGAATATTTCTATTTATCCCTTTCTTGTTGTTTTCTACAAGGGTCCTATACCTCTCTCTCACTATTACCTTCAAGGATGCTCTACCTATTTATTCATCAAGTAGAAGAGTAAAAAAGGAGACAAGGAAGTGTACTGATGAATTTTCTTCTTGTGTGGTACAGTACAGTTGTCTGCACTTATACCTGGTAGAGTGGCTGATACACTTTGTGAGATGTGGCAACTCTGCTCAGGAATGCTTATCTTGCATCCTTAGTCTGGCTTATAATACAGTGTTCCTTATGGCTATTGTGAGGGGTTTAATAAGATGTAAACAAACACAGAGTTGCCACGTCTCACAATATGCACCGACTACTGTACCAGGTATAAGTGCAGATGTCTGTACATGACTTATTTGTTATCATCTATGTCATCATCATAAGTTGTTCTATTTAGTGAGCAGTTTTACTTATTGAATGTGTAGTGCTAAATAGTTTGTGTGATGTTTGAATTTGCCTGTTTCTCTGGGGATCACCTCTTTTAATTTATTTAATAAATAATTCAACTTTCTTTGTCAGAGTCATCACTGACATCTGCCTTTTACATTTCACTCCACTAGCATCACTAGCACTGACACTAGGCAGCCTTTTAGGGGCCATTTCACACAGAATCACTTAAGTTTTAAGAGTACAACACGAGATGCTGCGTCACAAGCAATGGTTGAGAGTGAACAGAGGGAGAGGAGAAGCTGTGCGCCCGTGGGGTGACTCGTTGTGCTGTGGGAAAAGGCTTACCGCACGTTCACCACCATAGTCACCATCTGCTTACCGCGAATCATCAAAATTGGGAATTGCAAACCCACGAATGGCGAGGGTATACTGTACTTTGGAGTCCAGATAATTCAGTTCCTAGAAAATTGGGATAGGTTAGCCCTTAATCCCCGGGTTAGGTGCTGCTGGCAGTAACACCCCGCCTGCCCGTGGGGATACCAATCTCCCAAGCAAAGTCATACCCAATGATGATACGGGCAACAATCACGTCCCCTTTCCGCGACCCTTTCCCGGAGACGTACGAGAGGTCAGGAAGTTTACGAATTTGGGTCCTAATCTGTAAGAGTGTTCGAGGAACAACGTAGTCAGGTGTGGCCTTGTTGCAGCCAGTCTTGGTCCTTATTTTCCCCTGATCCAAATGCGATCCCGTCGAGAGCAGACGTGGAATCGCAGCAGACAAGCAAGGGGCAGAAACCATCTGCTTCTTCCTCAGCGAGAAGGGCAGCAAGGAGGGCTATTAGTTCAGCCTGAGTGGAGGATGCCCCATCAGAAACTCTGAGAGACAGTTTGATAGGCTCAGGGGCATCAGGACGGGAGATGTAGACACCAGCCCCGGCCCTACCTGTAGCGGGGTCAACAGAACCATCAGTGTAGAGGACGACCCTACCTGGGGACCAGTGGGCGATCCTGGAGAGGTGGTATTTGCAGAGAATAACAGGGTTCACCTGGGATTTCGGGAGCAGTCCACCGAGGGCAATCACTTCAGGTTGAAAATCCAGCCAGGGAGAAGGAGACGAACCAACAGCAGGGGTGACAATAATATCAGGCAGGAGGTCGTGTTCCTGAAGGGCTCGGATGAGTGACCCTCGCCACTGTCTTCTAGATGGAGGTCGGTCTCGGACAGCAGGAGTCAAGTTGGTTTGGACATAGTTGCCCCGAGGATCCCGTAGAATGGAAATGGCAGTTTTTAGGTTAAACTCTTGGACACGATCCTGTAAGGGGGAAAGACCAAGTTCGGTATATAGAGAAGTAGAGTGTGTCCACTGAGGAGCCTACTACATGTTTTTTTTATGATTTCCTGCTTGGTTTGGATTGAAATCGCTTTTCTTGGTCTCTTAGGCCCCATGCTGGATTCAAACAATGTCAACACGTGCTTTTTAAGGTTAAACTTGTTGTAAATAAAGAATATTTTCTTTAAAATAACACTGCACTGCGCTATATATTGTCAATATGTAAAATAAATTTCAAAATGACCAATAATTTGCTTGGAAACACAGAAAAAAAGCGTTTAGTTGAAGAGAGTCTCAAGCAAGATGTTACCTCCAGCGAAAACAGAGAGAGACTAACGCCTGTTTGCTGTGTTAAGAGGCTGGATGCCGCGCATTAAACTAGTCACTTTACCTTCAATTATGTTCAATAATTGTTAAAATGACTAAAAGATTTAATATTAAACTTTTAAAATTATTGAATAGTATAAACTTCTTGATATTTACTAAAATAGTAAGGAATTTAAGCCCTAGAACCGATTAATGTATTGGCGGATTAATACTACAGCTGGTTGACCGCCCAGTGCAAGCCAAAACTTGTTGAGGTCGGCTTGTAAGAAACTCGTTAACTGCTCGTTAACCGAATTTAAGAATCTTATGGGAGGTAACTCGTTAACCAAAATCTCATTAACCGAGGCGCTTGTTAACCGAGGGACCACTGTATCTTCATTCACCACAGTCATGCAATTATACATTTTATATTTCCTCCAAACAAAATGTCAGGTTACAGTGCTCTCTTTAACATTTACTCCCAATTTTGCAGGGACCCAGTTTTCCAGGGACCAATCTTTCGGACCAAATTTTCAGGAACCGATTATTCCTCACCAAGTCTTGTAAATATTGGTGAAGGAAATTATTATAATGGGTTGCTTTTCCTTTGCTTTCAGGGAGGACATTTTGACTTGGCCGACAGAATGTTCCACAGCATGAAGGAGGCCTGGCACTCTGCCTCTCGTAATAACATGGCAGACGTCAAGGAACTTATACCTGAGTTTTTCTATTTGCCTGAATTTCTTCTTAACTCCAACAAGTTTGATCTTGGTGAGTTTCACCAATTTTATTACAGTACAAGTTTGTAGGTGAGAAAGTAGGATTGGCTAAGAGGTATTATATTATATTCATGAAAAAATTGGTAGAGAGGGTTTGTTTGAACATCCCTGAATGATACAGTTGTTGCTGACAAAATCTAACGAATGTTTTGCAAAATAGAGGCAACATTCACAACTTCAGCAGTGGATGTGGGTCTGTGGAATGATGCTGTTTAAGTTGCTTATGTGTTAGGTATAAGATATAATTATGTGGTGACAGAGCAGTGTGAAGGCTCTTGTGTCATGTTGTTAACTTTCATAATGGTATCTGATCTACAATGCTTCTTTCATCATCAGGTTCAAAACAGAGTGGGAAGCAGTTGGATGATGTTGTTCTTCCTCCTTGGGCGAGGGGAGATGCCCGAGAGTTTATCCGTCTCCACCGTGCGGCTCTGGAGTGTGACTATGTCTCCGCCCATCTACACGAGTGGATAGATTTAATATTCGGATACAAGCAGCTCGGACAGCCGGCAGTGGAGGCTGTCAATGTCTTCCACCACCTCTTCTATGAGGGAAATGTGGATATTTACAAGTACGTGCCTTTGACTTTCTCTCCGAGTCACTTTTGATAGTGTCCCAGTGCTGTACAGTACATATTACTTTTCCTGCTTCGGATTTACAAGCATTCTATGGCATACATCCTAAATTACACCTAAGTTAGAAGTGTCCTTTAGACTGTTTATTTCAGACCATATTTCTCAGAATTTCCCCCGTAACAACTCAAAATTTAAGTGAACCAGTTTTGACTAACATTTCATCTGTAAGTATTAACAACTTCTCTCTTATCCTCAGCATTGATGATCCTCTTAAGAAAAATGCAACTATTGGATTTATCAACAACTTTGGCCAGATACCCAAGCAGCTGTTCAGGAAGCCTCACCCTTGCAAGAAGCTGTCTGGGCAGCGTACATCCATCATTGACTCCGGCCCACTCTCTCAGGCCCCGACGGTGACACCATTAGAGAAGGTCTTTTTCCACAACCTTGATAACTTGAGACCCACAATGCATGCAGTGAAGGGTAAGTTATGGAACTGTTTACTGCAGTGGAGTCTTGATAGTTCGCAGGTTAGAAGACATCGCGAATTATAGTTTAATTTATTGAAATGGAATTACTGTATTTAGCTTGGTTCCAGAGGGAAAGAAATACCCATAAACTGTTTCAAAACTGCTTTAATAAACACTAAACATCATACATAATACATAAAAAATACAGTAACTCACACATATTGTACAAAAAGTATGGTAGTCATTCTATATTACATAAACAGCTCCTTTCCTTCTCATAATTTCATGTGGGATACACCAATACTGTACACCAACCTGGATATAGCCAGGCACCAGGCTGGCTGTGACCACACAATATCAACAAAGAACCAGGAATTTAATACTGTTTTATTAACCAGGTAACAAATATACCTAAATAATATGGGAATTGTAGTGAAATTGCATAATGTTGTATTAATGATGTCGGGGGAGTGCGCTTAGCTCGGAAACAGGGGAACCTCAGTCCACCACCCAACCACTCGGCCTCCCACAAACAATTTGCCTACCAACTTTCATTTTTCTTCTTTTATAGTTTTATTATATTTTCTTTATTTGAAGTCACTTTGGAACATTTAAGTGATATTCATATTATATTTTCTTTATTTTCAAGGCAAATTAGAGCAATGAAATGATATTTGCACAACGTTTATGGTTCCTTATGTAAGCAAACACTGCTGCAGTCAGTGCTAGATTGCGCATTATGAATATTTGACTGGAAAATTTAAAAAGAGAGTAAGTAATAGAGGTGCTCGCGAATTTAAGAATGCAAATTTGTATTTTGTGAACTATCGAGACTCCACTGTATTATTATTATTATTAAACCTTTAAACAGTGGCCATCATCAGTGGAAGTTAGCTGTAGGGAAGGTGACCATCATCAGTGGAAGTTAGCTGTAGGGAAGGTGGCCATGATCAGTGGAAGTTAGCTGTAGGGACGGCAGCCATCATCAGTGGACATTTCTTTTTCCATTTTTGCACACATGGGGGTGGAGTAGGGAATCCTTAGTCTCCATTTTAGAGTAAACATTGGCTTTATTAGCAATGTTTTCTTCCCTGTAAAATTTTTCTTGATGAATTTTAATATAAATGGTACTTAGTCAACAAACCAAGGGGAAGGGAAACACCACAACAGAAGAGTGAATGAGTGACAGAGTGAGGAGAGTGTGTTTACTCTTCATTCTGGTCATTCTCATCAATTTGCTGGAGGGTTAGACTGGGATAAAGTTTCTCCATGTTTTTGGTTGAGTTGTGTGTGTTATAGTACTGTATGTAGGTAGGTGTTTGTTGAGAGATGGTATAGGTTTCATTTGGTTGGGTTGACTTAGGTAGTCTAGGTTAGGTTAGTTTATGTTAGGTTAGATTAGATTAGGTTGAGGTTTTGTTAGGATAGGCTTGGTTATATTAGATTGAATCAGGTTAAGCTGAGTAGAGTTAGGTTAGGTTAGATTCAAGGTCTGAGTACAGTAATAATAAGCCTCATTTACTACTACAATAATCTTATTCTTCCCAGAGGTGAAAGGCGCTGTGGGCCAGATCATAGCGCAAGACAAGGTGATCTTGGCCGTGGAGCAGAACAAGACGTTGATCCCTCACTCCTATCAGCGGTACCTTGCCTGGGGCTTTGCTGACCAGAGGTGGGTTGTGGCTGTGAACTTTTTCCTTATTTATCATTTCACTGCTTATGGTAATATCTTAATAGATATTTGGGCGGCTGGTCTGTTCTTTATTATTTTGTTGAGGTTTATTGGCCACTCTTAAGATTTAATCCCTTCACTATGGGGACGCCACTTTTAATTTTTATTTGGTTAGTACCGGATGATTTTATTCAGCACAGAGGAGATCCCGTACCCTATTGGTTAATTGATTTTGTTGATGAATCATATAACTCGGAGCTATTGATAGAATTTAATTTATTATGTTTGTATTTTCTTTTTGTGTTTTGGGTCTGTGCGTTTACTTAAATGTCAAGGCACCATTTTTTATATGCAGTATAGATAGATAGATAAAAAATAATTATTGTCATGGGTTGCGTAGGCTTACCCATGCAACCAACTCCAAAGTTTGTTTTACTAGAGATGAGACACGCGGCGAGGCACAACTGGGACATGTATTTCCAATAGTGTATGTTAGCCAGCCTTTAGAGGGGGTGGGCAGTGAAACAGTGTTGTACTGTTCATCGCTTCACACCCAAAAACCTCATTTTAAGTAGTATCCCCTGAGCCATGGCATAGTTAAGATGTCGTCTCCATCCTCTCCCTCCTGAAAGGGGGCGGGACACCACATTGTCATGGTTCTGGGTGGATCGGTGGTAGTAGGAGTAGATTATATTACATAAAGATAATAATATGTCGTATTTCTTATTTCTTACCGTAGAGTTCGATACCTTCACACTGATTACTTATAGGAGATTATGGTGTATCTACGTAGAAGTTCACTCCACCACTCGACTTTCCATGATTTATACTTGATAAATGATGATTTAATGAATTCCATTAATTTGCAACATCTATCTCAGTTATTGGTTATACTTTGTCATAACCAATCAGTCATTACCTTTAGTAATAATAAGATAGGATCACAGATACGGGCAGATAATTGCACTTACATATATTTGTCAAGCTTCCATACAATGATTTACAATTTGCATGGATATATGAATCACTCACGTTCACGCTGTAATAAAATTAATCTTCTAAAAGAGAATTTTCAACTTGGGAACACATGTGATTACTCTACTGTGGGTATGATTTAACAGAGCCTTAATTCTTCAAATGATACATTTACTGCCAGCCTGGATTGCTTTTGTTGCAACCAGGCTTCCGCACAAGAACTTTCCACGGCCATAACAACAAAAAATACTCTTGGGTTACCACACATAGTCTCGCGTCACTGACAGTCACTGTAGATGGTTGTCGCGGCAAGGAGAACTGGTAAGCGTGACTTGAATTAACCATTTAGGTGCAATAGACCATCCTGGTTTGCTTTTGTCGCAACCAGGCTTCCACACGTGATATTTCCACGGGGATAACAAACCCAGGTTAACACACTTAGTCTCGTGTTGATCAATGTCACTGTAGACGGGTGTCGTGCAGGAGAACTCTGTAAGCGTGAATTAATTAACCATTTACTGTAGGTTTGATAGGCCAGCCTGGATTGCTCTTGTCGCAATCAGGCATCCACACGTGATATTTCCACGGGGATAACAACCTAGGTTAACACTCTTAGTCTCGTGTCGACGACGGTTCACAGGACGGAGTGGCGGTGGAGGACTGTGTGGTGTGGTGTCCTGCCCCCTTTCAGGAGGGAGAGGATGGAGACGACATCTTAACTATGCCATGGCTCAGGGGATACTACTTAAAATGAGGTTTTTGGGTGTGAAGCGATGAACAGTACAACACTGTTTCACTGCCCACCCCCTCTAAAGGCTGGCTAACTTACACTAATGAAAAATACATGTCCCAGTTATGCCTCGCCGGGTGTCTTATCTCTAGTAAAACAAACTTTGGAGTTGGTTGCGTGGGTAAGCCTAACGCAACCCATGACACTGTACTTGAACATTTATATTTTTCAATTTCAATTTTTACTCTTCCTGTTCCTTTATATATGGAGAGGAGTTGAGTGTTGTCATTGTTGTAGGCAGGTGGTAATATTGAAACACTAATGCCTTGGAGCTAGTGATGACATCCTGTCATTAGTTATTGGTATTTCTAAGTTATTGTCTGTGTCATAATCTTACCCACTTACTGAACTATTATTACAGACATTGCTAGGTATATTAATTAAATTATTGCTATTATTAATTTAACCCTTTGCAGTCTCCACAAGCATGTGTTTGTAAGTAGTACGTACATGCATAAAATCTTGGCATTTTTTATTTTTACTATTATTGGTTTACCCTTTTACAAATTCCACTAGCTTTTGTTTATAAGTACACTACAGTAATAAATGATTGAAAGGGTTTGTTCTGTATTCCAATATTGACAGACAGATGAGTTTTATTTCCTCCTTTGCAGTCTTCGTATTGGTGGCTATGAAAGTGAACGTGCAGTGTTGGTCAGTGAAACACCCCAGAATGGTGAGATCCTTGCTGCCGTCTGCCCCAACAACAAAACCATCATCACTGCTGGCACTTCAACGGTAATATGAACTTAAATTTATCTTGTGAATTCTTATTTTGCATCGAAGAAAATATTTGTGGATCATATTTTTATTTTTTTCTCTGCACGGGACATAAAGAAGAACACCGGTTCATTATTATCATTTTGGAGGGCTTTCAGTCTCTTATTGTGGCCAGCTTACTGATGGAGTTTTCATCTTACAAGCAATGGTTCTCAGGTTCAATTTTCAAGCCACAAGGGATGACTGGATTCCTCCTTGTGGTTTAGCCTTGTACACTCAGTAATTGAATGAGTACAGTACAGTACACTATGAGGTGCACTTGCTGATGGTCTAACAACCCTTCAATGCATTAATCCTTTTATGTGGGTAAGGGATCTGCTTCTGTCGAGCACCATGCATCATAGCAGGAAAATTCTAATGTATATACCCTTTACAGTACTGTACAGTATATGAAAATAGAAATATACCTTCTGCTTTTTTGTAGGTGGTTAATGTGTATGAAATCATCAAACGTCAGCTGGTACAGAAGAAGTCACTTTATGGTCACAGTGACGCCATCACGTGTCTGGCAGCCAGTAGTGCTTATGGCCTTTTGGTCTCAGGCTCGAGGGATCGTTCAGCAATAATATGGGACCTGGCAAGACTTGCATATGTCCGTCAACTCATTCCTCACCAGGCACCTGTGGCTGCTCTGGCAATCAACGAACAAACGGTGTGTAGGTCCTTTTGATTATCTTCACAATACACTGATATCCCCATTAGCCGGAACAATTGGTGCAGAGCACTTCCGGGAATGAGAGATTTCCGGGTAACAAGGAGACTCTCAAAGCCGGAAAAAATCTCTCATCCCGGAATTTTCCGGGTAAATGAAAAGTTTTCTCAAAATTTACAGAAAATGCGCCAGATTTTCATCTCTTAAACCTGGAAAAAACTACCCCACCCCTGGAATTTTCTGGAATTTTCCAGGCATCGGGATAATTTTCTCGGAATTATCCGTAAAAATGCCCCTTGGAAAATTTCAATTTCGGCTATCGGAGAGTTCCGGGTTTGAGGGATTCCGGCTAACGGAGATATTACTGTATTTGGGATTTGATTATTGGTAGTACATAATCAAGAAATTAATTTGTTTATGTATTTGATCCACCAAATTATTTTCTAAACAATAAACATGTATTATTTCAGGGTGACATAGCCACATGTGCGGGAACTTGGCTCCACGTCTGGAGTATAAATGGAACTCCAGTGGCCTCCGTCAACACAGCCTTAGGTGCCCACTCTCCCTTACAACAAATCCTGTGTGTGTCCTTTTCTACAATGTACGAGTGGGACCCTGGCAACGTTATAATGACAGGCTCCTCAGATGGGGTTGTAAGAGTAAGTTTCTCACGCTTGATTACTTTAGATATGTCTTGTAGTTGACTCATCTTGATTACATACTGTTGGTGCTAAAGGGTGACAGTGATCTCTGCATCAGGTACAGTACTGTGTAAACAAAGGATGAAAAGGCTTCTAGCACAATGCACCTTCGACAATTTGGTTTCATAAATTAATATTTATGTCCATAATTTATACCTAATGCTACTACAAATTTATTTAAAGACAACAGCAAATTATTGTATGAAATGGATCCTTATTGAGTTTACACTATGTTCCACTATGTATGAAGGGAAACATACTGATATTTCACTTGGCTATCCATACTGTAGTTAACATTATTTACTTCACGCCAACCAAATTTGATATCAGCATTACGCAAACTATCCAGTGTGGAGCAATAAAACTATGTAGGATTCTTTAATTATGTTTACTGTAGTGTAGAATATTATACCACATTATAACAGCGGTTGAGATTATTTTCGCCAATAACTGATGTTTTTTTTAGATGTGGAGTGTTGAGTACGTCCAGGTACCAGCGGACGAATCAGCGGCTAATAATAACAACTCTAACTCAGACAGTGACCAGAATGTTGATTTGAAGATTGGCAGTACTCAAGGTAATCATTCAACTTTGTACTCAACACAAGAGAATGACATACATTTATCATATTCAGGAGTGATCATAGAATTATTATACAATCTTGTGTGTGAAAATGTACGTCACTCTTTGTACTCGAGCGTCTTATTAACTCAAGTTTCTTATTAATTCATTCTTGTAACTTTCTGCACTTGTCTCTCACCTTTCTCCCTGTTGTTGCTCTCCATCTTTGAGGTTTCTGTGCTTCTTGGTCCATCCCTCACACAGAGAAGTGAAGTAAAATAGAATAATTGTGAAAAAATTTATTCTCTCTCTCTTGTAGTTATGAAATTCCTTGACCTGTATAAATTTTGATGTGACATTTGTAGCTATATTTTCCTGAAAGTGTATTATGTATGATATAAATGGCCTTTTTGTATTATATTTGCATTTTTTTCATGATGGATGAATTCTATAGGCCATTAAAAGTTTATTATTTTATACTCTCCTATTTTCATGGGTAGAAAAGATTATGAATATGTGTAATTTTCTTTCAAGTCAGCATGTGGTCACCAGTGTATAGGGTTCTTGTTCTTTGTGAAGGTTTGATAATAACATAGAGAGTTGTTGGTGTATTCAAGATGTTTAGCTGTGAGAAGGTTGATCTGTATCGAATAGTACTTTTACTACACCATCAACCTTAATCATGTGGTCAAACAAACCTTCATAATGTGCTAAAATTGTGTACACTGTTGATCATTAGAGAAAATTATACATATTTACTGTTATTTTTTGCCGTAAGATGGAGCATGAACATAACCAACCTTTAATTACCTACAGAGTTCATGGGTCTTGAGGAGAATATTCAATATTATAAAAAGCACCATAGAAATCATATAGAATTCCCCAAAATGGTGTCTCTCTGTAATGGCTGTGAGGGTAGAGTACTTAAGGCTTACCAGTCATGATCAGAGTTACAGCAGTACAGTACAGTACAGTAGTCTTGATAAACCATTCTCAGGGATCAACAGCAGCAGTAAGGGCTCTAAATCCCCTAAATCTCCTAACGGAAGATCCCCTACCCATCCCCTCCAACCTGGCCGCTCTGCCCGCGCTCACGAAGTAGTCCGTCGCTTATCCACCGTAGAAGACTTCCCTCCGGGTAAAATACGTTGGATTGTTTTTGTTATTTAAACTAGATATGACATGATTTTAGACTTAATATACTTTAATTTCATAATCTTGAAAAACAAGTGTGTTTATTTATAAATTAACGGGTCTTTGGGTAAATAAATAATAACCCTTTGTTAGCAACCTAAGTTAACTTCAGCAAATGAAAAAGAAATTAGTGTAGATATAGTGTACACAGAAGTCGGTTTACAATAATGACATTACTGTATCCATTTGCTGATAATGACTGATATGGTTTGTTTACTGTCAGCTGGCAAATGATGCCTTTTTCTGGCCTTTGTTTTTTAGCACTATTGACAAAAAGTGTAAGTGAGAGTAGTCTGTCTGAGGAAGGGGAGAGTGACCTAGAGGAGATTGAGAAGGGGGCAGCAACAGAAGAGGTGGGCAGTGTTGACCTGGAGTCCTACACTGTGGTCTCCTCGTACTCCAACAAACTGACAGCTAGTCAAGAGGAAATCTTAACAGGTTGTGCGGTAAGTGTCTTATAAATAGTCTTTGTCACAATATTATTTGCATCAGTGAGCTCTATGTACTATATGTATCCTTATTTATTAACTGACTGACTTGAGAAATTTTTAACCAGTCCTTCTTGATGCTGTATATATCCGTGTATCCAAATGAATTATGAAGTACAGTACTCTGCTTTGTAACCAAATATCTTCAGGATAATTCAGCTGTGTAGCCAAGTGACTCATGGATTACCCAACTTTGTACCAGGATACAAATATAGCAATCCCTATCAGGGTTTAATGGAATTGATGTTCAAAAATATATTTGGTCATCATCTTTTCAAATTACGTAAATAGATTTTCTGATGCATTTCATATAAATTTCTGTAAGATGTAGTACAGTATGGATATATTGAAAGTAATTCAATAATCAGAGTTTCTGTATACAGTACAAATTTATTATTTACTCTTGCACATAAACCGGGACTCCCTAATTCATGAATGAAACGCCCAACCTTGCCCGTATGAGAGTGTATTATAATAGTGTGACTCCTATAGTATCGTATTAATTTCTTACTGCTTGTTCAGGATCTGAGCCCAGATAAGGGTGGCAAGGAGAAGCGCCCTCTGCACCGCCAGATAGCAGTGTCCATCTCCACATCCAGCACTCCCAGCATAGAGGCCTCTCACTCACAGTCTCTTGAAGCACATGATGACATCATTCTCAGGAGGAGTTCAAACTTCCCTCAGGGTAATAATTAATTTGTTTCCCATGATGGTCTTACCTTTGAGGTGTTCAAATGTTTCATATCAATATGAAGAGTAAAACCATCATCCTGTTTATTGTTGGTGACTGCACACATTTTTGTCATTACATCTAAACTTTGGTTCCTTAGACACTTGCCAATTTCATAAATTGTCTTTAGTCTTCACAAAGCCTTTCCAAATCAAGCTGGAATTCAGTATTAATTAAATTTTGTATCAGTATGTACCTTAGTTTTGTTACGAGTGTGATGGAGACTATAAACAATGGCTAACATAGATTTCAGGTATTATCACAAGTATCACGTCTCATAATTTCAGGTGTTGCCAGAGCAATAAGCACTATTGAGAGAGGAGCTTCACACGATGGCCAGAGGGGTCACGACCACAGGCTTCAGACCAGCAAGAGTGAGACCAGTCTGGCAGATAGTGATGCTTTTGTCTTGATTTCTGACTCTGAGGTGAGGGAGGCCCAGACTCATCAAACTGTGGTGACTGAGACCAAGAAGAAGCTGCCTAGGAATCCTCTCATGCCAGGTGAGATTTATGTTTTCTTAGTTAGCAAAAAATGCAATAAGAATTTAGATTATGTTTTGCTGAACTATTGGTGATGTTGGTGAGCTTCATCTGCTGAAGGCACTACACAGCTTTTCACTACTGATTGGTACATGTTTTACGTTTCCATTGTTTACTGGCAGTAGCTGGTAGATATTTTTCATGTCTAAAGCTAACAGTTGCTCCTCGCCCTTCCCGTCATGCACGGATTCAACCTAAGAAAACCATTACCCATGTAGAGGTCGACCCCCAATTTTTTGCCTAAAAATTTGGTCTTAAAAACTCGAACTACACTCGAGTGTATACGTAGGTCTGTCTCTCCATTTCCTGTGAGCACAGACCTCCCTAAAAACTCTGTAGCAATCAATCATCGTTTTCTCATAAACGTTTACCTGATGACCTGCTGCAATGTTCACTGCAGATATACAGTACAGTACATAATATAAACCTTTTTCTGAAATGACACATTGGACAGGGCAAAAATGATCCTGTTCTTATAGACTTGTGGCTTTACACTGCATGCTGTCTTTTTTCTAGCATTTCCACACGAGACCGTCCCACGTTCTGGATTGTTCCATTCAATTATCACAACTTTCACAATTCACATCATGTTATGAATGTATATCTTGTTGAAGCCAATAAATAAACTTTGATGAATCATCACACAGCAGTGCATGACAATCTGCAAGGTATTGCATGCCATGGAGTTCTGAAGCTTATGACTTGAAATTTGTACTTACTTAAATATAAGACTGGGGTGAAGAAGGTTCAATGGAAGGATAATAGGTGGGTAAAAGTGAGTCCTAGGAGTAGAGAAAGGTGTCATGGTTTGCTCATTGGTGATAACATTGTTAGTACCACTCTTCTTGGGCACGGCAGCATGCTCTTATTTAGTCAAATTTGAGGCCATAGCCTCTAACATAACCTAATCTCACCTGAAGAATCGTCACCCCCAGAGTGTCCACCTGATGAATTGTCAGCCCATCACACTCTAGGGTGATGATTCTTCAGATGATCCGCCAGTTGTTTTACAAATGCAATTATTTAAAGAAACTTAGGATAGCAGAATTAGTTTGTATTAAAAAATATAGCATTTTTAACTTGTTTAGTGAGAGCACGTTCAAGCTGGCTCCTGTGATGAAAGCCTTAGTGGTCAGGTCTCTTCCAGCTAATGTGACCGCCATGATAGGGGTGATGTGAGGTGACGTCATGTCCATTGTATATAAGGACCTTATGTAGTGATGAATGTACCAGTACTTGTCTGTAACTCAACTGAGGAGTTTGGAATAAAAATAATTTTCTGCCATTGAGGATTTCTTCTCATAATTAATATATAATCATTAGCATTTTTATCAAGTTTTGATTCTTAATGTTCCCACAAGTCACTTTCTGACATGATAGTCACCAGAGGTTGACTTGACTGTCACTCAGTGACCCAAGGACCCCCTCCCCACTTGGCCCTTCCCTCACCATGCCACTGAGGTGCAGGAATTTGGTGGTACCTTTGACATGTGTGTGAAAATACAATGTCATTGGCAAGACACTTGTCTGGCTGGCTAACTCAGGTAAAACCATCATGATGTTTATATCACAGGAAACATATGTACCTAGTGTTAGGTCATTATGAGATTATAAATGAAAATATTATTTATGGCTATAGTTCTGCCAAAGAAATTATTGACAGGAATTAACAGGTTTAAAATATCTGCTATAGTGAGTTGATGTACAGTATACTAATACCAAACACTGCAACTCACAAAACCAAGTTGAGGGGGAAATATGAGAAAAGAATCAGTGATTTTTGTCAGGGCAGTATGACGACAAACTATGTTTCATTACTTTGTGTTGTTTTAGGTATTTAATAAGATGTTATTTTTTTAGCACAGTATACCTATAATGCCATGATGCTGTACCATATATTGTTTTTTCAATCTGTGCAAATCATATATTGTCACCTAACAACTGCATTAAAACTTGGTTTTATTAATGTACTTTACTGTTAATGGTATTTAATGAAAATGTGGAATTTTTCCAAGCAAAAAGTTTAAAAAAAAATTTTCCTCTGTATCTTATGATTTTATTTCCATTCACCCAAAATCAAACCTCCCCACCTTATATAATCATTCATCTATATCACAGGGATGAAGTGGGCTTGTCAGCTGGTGTTCCGCAGTAAGCTGACCATGCACACTGCTTATGACCGGAGGGACAACACAGAGCCTGCATCTGTCACCGCTCTAGCTGTTTCCAAGTAAGTTGCACCTTCATATTAATTCTCTGGTATGTGGCGCCGGAAATTTCATCAATAGCTCGAACAACTTTCAATTAAAGGTTCTCTTCATACCTGCTAAAATAAGGTCACCAGAGTACCTATTTAACATTTTATAAAAAGAATTGTTATATTACTTACATTTACAACCAAGCAGGCTGTAGGGGTTAATATTTTGTGTTCTATTCTGCTTTATTAGTGCCAGAAAAAAGGTTATCCATATTTCTGAGAGAATCTGTAATAGAAAGTACAGTTGATAGTGACCAAATTTTAGTTTAGTGTGTGAGTAGCGAACAGTGCAGAGTGTCTCCATGGAACATATCTCACTCGTGTTACTATCAGGGCTGTGGAGTCGAAGACAAAACCTTCGACTCCGACTCCTCAAATTTTTATGCTTCCGACTCCGACTCCTTGGCCTATTTGTAACAACTATTTCTACCATCCTAATTGTAATTTGTATGTTGTAACCTGCATAGGTAAAAAGTAAAACACCGTGGCTATACTGCTACAGCTTTATTAATGATCTGGACGATATTTAAGAACTACAAAAAGATGATAGGCTTGACTTTCAAAGTTTCAATCAAAAGAAAAATAAATTTATTAAGAATTCAAGATATTAACTAGAAAACACCATTTACATGTATATCTAAAAGTTCGATCTCAGCATATGAATTTTGTTTAAGCTCATAATCTGATGTGGATCTAAATGATGATCCTACAATTCCTTTTAAAGTAAAGTTATATATTTATGTACATTAAAGAAATGAATACCTTATTAAGGAAAATGGATAAACCTTACATGATTAAGTTATTAAATTAAATTTGCCTTAATCTCACCAAAAACAGGTTGTAGCTAATTGTTTTGTAGCTGAGAGCCTCTGTGCAGTTTTCAACGAAACAAAATTTGATATAATTCAAAATTTCAAATGGTAAAGAAGAGACTATCGTCCAAAATTATAGTGCTATACTGTGCCTGCTACAATAAATTCATAATAATGCTTATAAAATGGAAATAAATTCTTTTAATAATTTAAGAAAATTAGTGGGATCAGTGGAATCACTGCAATGAATATGCCTGAGTTCATATATTTGTTCTTAGGAACAGAATAGCTTCAGTCGGAGTCGGAGTCTGGACAATTTTACCGACTCCGACTCCACAAGCCGAAATTTCCTCCGACTCCACAGCCCTGGTTACTATAATTAAGGAACATTAAGTTATACCATGTCTCTTATGTACCACAAGAGGGAGGTACCATCTGTCCAATTAAATTAAAGTAATGGTAAATGCAAAATGTATTTCTCATCTTAGATTAAAACATTATCAGTCCTGTAGTACAGTAATTAAAACTGGGATAACAAGTAGTATAGATTTTTCATTAAGCTAGGGGGATATTTATACAGTAGAGTCACTTGTACTAATACTAATTCTTATTCAATAGAGATCATCGAACAGTATTAGTGGGAGATGCCAGAGGTAGAGTGTTTTCTTGGAGTGTACCTGACCAGCCGGGTCGAGCTGTAGCCGACCACTGGGTTCGTGATGATGGAAGTGACGGTTGTGCCAATTGTCAGGTCAAATTCAGCATCTATGAACGACGTCATCACTGTCGCAACTGTGGTCACCTCTTCTGTTCGAGGTAAGTGGTCTTTGTTCTTCTTTAACCTACCATCACAGTGGACCATTGATAAACCTACCATCACAGTGGACCATTGATAAACCTACCATCACAGTGGACCATTGATAAACCTACCATCACAGTGGACCATTGATAAACCTACCATCACAGTGGACCATTGATAAACCTACCATCACAGTGGACCATTGATAAACCTACCATCACAGTGGACCATTGATAAACCTACCATCACAGTGGACCATTGATATATCTACTATTACTGTGAACCATTGATGAACCTACTATTTCTGTGGACCATTGATAAACCTACCATCCCAGTGGACCATTGATAAACCTCCCATCACAGTGGACCATTGATAAACCTACCATCACAGTGGACCATTGATAAACCTACCATCCCAGTGGACCATTGATGAACCTACCATCCCAGTGGACCATTGATAAACCTACCATCACAGTGGACCATTGATAAACCTACCATCACAGTGGACCATTGATAAACCTACCATCACAGTGGACCATTGATAAACCTACCATCACAGTGGACCATTGATATATCTACTATTTCTGTGAACCATTGATAAACCCTCACATAGTAAGAAAGTTGTAAAATCGTTAAATAAATCATCATTTTCTTAGACTCAAGAAAAGGTTTCGTTTTAAGCATTTGTCCTCAGGCAGATAGGGATTATACATCTTTTATTTCTTAACCTATATGTTGTTCACTAAATTTATCTTTGATTGTTTGTTTATTTATTTTTTTTTTTACCATTAATACATATTGGTTATGGTTTAATTCTTATCAATATATGGTACATTTTTCAGATGCAGTAGATTTGAGTCAGAAATCTCCCGCCTTCGCATTCTGAAGCCAGTGAGAGTCTGCCAGAAGTGCTACACCACGTTGAGACATGACAAATAAGTCTGAAACTACTCATAATTTTGTGAATGTAATTTTAAGTCAGACAATGTTTGCAATTTAACATACAATGTTTGCAATTTAACAGAGACTTTTTTTGCAACTACTTGCATTTTTATTGATGAATTTTAACAGGTATTCTTTGTGGTAATATAGAAACTGCCATATTCAGAAAGACACACAATATTCCTTTAACAACTTAGTTATTGGTTGTTAGAGGTTAATTTACTAACCTTTGGTTAGTAAATAACAGTTAACATAACCTCTAATTACTGATGGTTGAATATGATAGTCACAAATGTATAAGTACAGTATACTGTGTTCAGTCATGGCCTGCCCGCAGAAGTCAACTTTACCATTGCATTTCAGTCATGTGTTCAATTTTTTTCCAAAAGTGGGAGAAAGTGGACGAGGTGAGCGTAAATTATTTATATAACTCAGGGGCTTCATCTTGCTATATGAACACAAGTCTGGGGTTGTTATGTCTGGCAGGAGAGCATCACAAAGTGTCAGTGGAGGGAGGCAGCTCCATATATTTGTTGCATTCTAGCAATGAACTTATTCATGCTATCTTCATAAATGACAACTTCTTGCATGGTGTGTGACTGCATATTATAAGAGACTTGCTGATGTCATTATATCAGAAAGATCTCATATTGATGGAGTAAGCTTGGATACAGTATATAATAATTTTAGTTGTAAATCTGATTCATTTGAAAGTTATTTTATTTGATAATACTCAACAATTTATTTTCATAATTTTAATTCTAGTAATATTTAGTGATTTTATCCTTCCCAATATCACATTAGATAGTAATGAAATGATAATCTCAAATGTGTTATTTATTCACAAATTGACAGTAAGATGTATAATTTATTTGTGTATTGACAGTAGATTGTATATTTGAACTACAAGGGAAAGACTCGCCTCTATGTGGATCTTTTATAACCTTTTTTTTTTTACTGACATTGTTCTGTTCATCACTACAGTACTCTGGTAATAGTTACTGTACACGTGTCTCTTGTACGTTACTGTTGCTAAAGGAAGGTTATGTATGACTGATACTGTTGAGTTATACTGTACAGGACTCATTTTTTGGTCCAAGATCTGCTTCTCTTGTTGACAGAAATGTCCAGCTTCAAGATGTATGGTTGTTGATTAAGTATTGTTAAAGTAAAGAAATGTGTTGTTATTTGGGGTCACACAAAGGAATGCTCGGACTCTCATGACATAGGCGTGAAAGTTACTGTTACAGAGCAATTACTGTAGAAATAGTGATATTGTATATTCTAAAGAAATATTAGTCACACATTTATGTGTTCAGCAGTTCCTGGGCTTACGTGCAGAGAATTATGTTTGGCCGTATTGAGTCAATATTGCCATTTATGATGGCTCAACATAATTTTTAAGGAGTGAGTAAGCTCACTGGCCACACACTTTGTGTTAGTCTCGAAGAGGAAAGCATATAGTTGACGTATTGTGTACATAGTGAAGAGTCATTGTTTATAGTGTCACCCATCATGACGTATTGCCTCTGTCTCTCATACAACAGGTCGGGAATGTCAGTTGTCTTTGAAAGATTTAGGTTTCCATTTGGTGGTTGGAGGCCACAGGGTTTTCATATATTTTTCTCTTTTAATAAAAAGTGACTGCAGAAAGCTTAGGTAAGCATTATTAAAATCTTCAATCTAACCTTTATTGACACAAAGCAGAATACCAGATATCCTGAACAATGACATGTGATATGTATGTGCCAGTGCATTATTCTAGAGCTCCAATGTAAAAATGTGCATCAACACAGCTTCTGAAGTCTATTAACAGTTACATAGCCTCATTTTCAAGTGGTAATTTGTACATTGTGTTCCGTTGAAATTTTTGTTATATACCTTTGACATATCATTTTTTATCCAGTTAATGACTACTGTATACACATTGACAGTGATGTGACACAAGCAGACTGTCAGGCGGACATTTTGGCTATCATCCATCACAACACCTTCTAGTGTTTGAGGCTTACTAGTAAAACTCACTACTGTGTTACCCTTACAAAATATAAATGCAATTTGGTTCGATTATCAAATTGATTTAAACAGTTTTCATTTGTTGAATTTAGACACAGAGCAGTTATGGAAGACTAATTAATACAACCTGCTAATGGAAGTTGAGGATATGAGTTGGTGTGTATTGATATATTTTCCTGTTATCCTAATCCTTCACTGTTACTTTCTACACTTATCTTATACAGTATCACTCCTCTTCTGTCTTCCCACTCTCTTCACCCCTTGACTCACCCTACACAAAGGTATAACAAAAGGGAATGTGATATATGGAGAGATCAAATAATTAGTCAACATCCGGACTGTGTGTGTGTGTGCCAGAGATTGAGAGGATATCTGGTATTCTTCTCTAATAGTCATGTTCTCACTATTTTCTCATGAATTAACCTTTAGATTAATTCTGTTTTATATTTTGGACTATCTATCTATTCTGGAACGTTAAGATATGAAGTGTGTGTCTCACTTGTTCGCTTTAAATAATTTTTTTTTTTCAAATGTGCACTTTGCCACTACGAGGAAGGAATATGCAAGCGATGGATTTTAACAAAAGGTTGTAAGTCAAGCGGGCCTCAGTCCTAATAGACTCCAATGTAATCTAACTGTTTGGAATGGTTGAGTTAGATTGGGACTAAAAGAATGGTTGAGTTAGATTGGGACCTAAAAGAACTAGGGCCCAATTTGACTAGTGACTTTGCTGATAGAACAATGGTGTGTATTGTCCATCTCAGTGTTATGTGATGCCTCCCACCAACATGTGCCTAGAATTCTGTGTAGATGTGATAGGTCTCCCTGTGATCCTTTGGCTGGTCTCGCCTGTGCTATTTTACTTGGTTCATCACCGACACATTTTAGTTTGTCCGTCACCGAACATGTTTTTAATTTGTTTGTCACTGATACGTTTCTGTAGTTTATCTGTCACTAATACTGTATGACACATTCTTGTGTCACTTTCATTGAGACATTTTAATTTTTCTTTAGCATCACATTTATGAAGGAAAGTTTGATACCTTTCTTGGTAGCTGAGGAGGATTTGTATGTGTTCTGTATAGGAACACCAGAAAAGAGAGATTTTCTTTAATATTATCATTATTATTTTTTTAAGGTTATTGATTATTCGGGCACTTGCATTGGAGCCTCTGGTATGGATTGTGGAAGATTGCTTCATTCATTATTGAAAACAAATTAAAATTTGATACTGATATGTCAAGAAGAATCTTTATACACTTTCTTAGATTAACGTGAATGCACAGTCAAATTTTCTGCGATGTTTTGTTTATAAAGAACTAAAGGTGATAGAACCTCATCCATCCTTGTGTGGATCTTGTTGAGTAGTACTTTCATCCAAGGGTTATCCATGAAGGGTTGTAGCTGTTGCAGGTCAACTGGACCCCAGTTCTAATGGGCCTCACCCTAATCCAGCCATTAAGATGTTAATCCCTTATGGCTGAGTTCCATTAGGAGTGGGGAGTAATCCTAGTGCCTAGTCCCGGTAGGACTACTGTGAGAACTGACCATTATTTGAACTGTCATGTTTAAATTGATTTTGATAAAGAAGGCCCTGTATGTTGCTGCTTTTGGTTGACGTAGGAGTTGGGAAGAGTAAGGATGCTGTAAAAACTTGTAATGAATTATTTGACATTATCAGGAGTGAGGCATTTGGTAATTGTCACTCCAAAGGATTTTTTGAATTTTTGGCAAATTTGCCTTGATACCTCTGAGAACTACAGAGCCTATGGCTCTTTTATTAAGTGCTGTAATATAACCATCTCTAGTCAAGAGAAAACCAGTTTGACATTATGCAGTTTGTTCCATTTAGATGAAACCATAGGGAGTAATGAAGACTCAAAAGGATAATGGTATTTGAGAACACACTTCATGAAGTACACAGCTGTCTGCCTCACAGTACAGTACAGGTACGTGAGCCACACATGCTGTGAGGCTGTCCTCAAATTGCAGAAGAAATCTTCAACAGAGTTCACCTTAAGTGGGTAGACATATTACTAAAATGTTATAATGTTGAATTGTACACAAAAAGATCAATATCCTTTTCAGTCTTCATTACACCTTAAGGTTTCATCTAAATAGAGTAATCTGTATAGTAGTTTCAGACAAAATTTCCTGGTCACCATGGTTGTCTATCACCCTCTGAGTGGCTGTGATGCTCCTCACAATAAATGCCACTTTCCTGGCCACTGTGCTGTGGGCCTGCTCTGTTTTGGTCACTGTGCCCTTTTCATGAATTTCCAGGCCTAAACTTTGTACTGTGAAAGATACTCACTTGTTACAAAAGGCCATTAACCCTTACTTTTAAAAACATTCCATAGTGTGTCACTGTATCCCAACATCTTTGAATTTGTGTGAATGAATTGTTACTTTATTTTTTTATTATTGTAGCCTGTGTGAAGAAGAATGTACTGTATAAATGTTTTATGTTCTTTACCCTACTGATATTATTTAAGATCTGATGTATATTTTTATGTGCAAAGTAATTTATAGGCAGCAGTTGAAATCGATTATTTGACCATAAGGAATAAGTAAAATTGTTTTAAACTAATCATGGCTTAGAAAGTTAAGGGTTCTTTTAGGTCAAATGGGCTCCAGTTCCTGTTAGTCCTCAACATTGCCACACCTATAGTATTGGGGCCTATTACGACAGCTCCAATCCTAATGGTTGGCTTGGGTCCCTTTTGATCAGTGTATAAACTGCATGTCTTGGCTCACAGCCTTACCAAAAGTCCAATCTTGACTAAAAGTGAACAAAAATGAACAATATTTTAGATCTGACTTACTTGTGATTGCACACTGTGTGTCATTGGGAGTTACCTTAATAAAGCCATCAATAAATGGCTTAATTTTGTTGTATGTTAATTGAGATTCATCCTTTCAGAAAACAGCATATTATAGTAGTAATCAAAACAGCTCTCATTTGTTCCTAGAAATTTGTTGCTTGATTTGTCCCTGGTGTGTTTTTATAAGTGAGAGCTTGTGAAGTTTGTTACACGGTTATAAATACTCATTATTTGTATTGTACACTCTCTTCTTTTTGAAGCTCTTCCCCAGTATGCCTCAGGGTGGCCAGAATTGAGCACCACAACCTCTCCCACATTTCCTATTGTTCATTCTTTCTGTCATTGTTATTTATTCAGTATTTATCAGCCATGAGAGATTGAACACATTATCCCAAGGGTTAAATTTTTAATTTTGCCCTTCATAAGCAGACCACCTTGTATTAATTATTAAGAAGTATCCCCTCTCTCACATTGGTTAACAGACTAGTAGCTAATTAAGGGGAACATTTAGGTATCACTGCAATATTGGGAGGTTATATTGACACACACACACACATACACTGAATAAAAGTACAGTACTGCCATCGTTAGCCTGAGTTATGTGCCATAATTTTGTTTATGAATTATTTTGTCATCAGGTTACATATTATAAGGAAGTGTATTTCCAATTAAGAAATTGTTTTATGTTTTATATAAATATTACCATAACAACCATGTAAGAGTTACCCATGTGAATATTGTTATTGCTTGCATTAAGATTGAATATATGTTTTTCATAGATATTGTACAACTACTATGTCAAAATTACCTCTGTGAATATTAGTACTTCAGTTAAGGTAAATATTAATATTAATATATATAAATATATTTTTTAATCCCAAATCAGCTTTAATGGTAATTGTAAATTGCACTGGCACGCACACTCTAGGATGTTCTCAAGGAAGAGTTTACTGTAAGTAGTGAATATTTTATTATTTATTAAACATGTGATTGAAGGAATGAGGTTGAATATATTGGCCAGATTACCATAATTCACTTCCTTCCAGTGGATTTTTAACAATTAGCTCACGTGGTTCAGCTAGAGGTTGAGTGTCCAGTCGAGGTGAGAGGTTTTAGACAATATATTTTCTTCCTTCTTGCTTCTCCATATGAAACATTCCAATGATTTTTATACCCTTTTTCCTTAATTTAATTCTCAGAATATGAATAGCAAGGTCACACAATATTTTGGTATATTTTAGTGAATGGTTAAAATTATTTTCTAGCAGTTATATTCCCCGAGACACCATGACAGTATGAGGATCAAAGATCATTTACCTTTTATTACTACTACTGCTGCACACTGCCCAACACCTCAGCTGTCTCTCATCTTGTAACTATTCATAAAGGAATACTTGTTAACCTTTGCTTTATTACATACCAAAACTGTTGTTGCGAGATGACAGCGTGTATGTCCCACAGTTTTGGTTTGTGACAAAAAAGGAGGTTTAACGGGTCATTTCCCATACAATCGGTCCATTTTGCCTCGTCACACTAGATGTCTGTAGTGCTTATTTCATCTGCACATCTAGGCCAAGTAAATTCATTATCAAATATTAATTAAATTCGTTTTTCACCCATATTTTGTGGATATGGATTTTAGTTTTCTCCTATTTTGTGATATGAGCTTGTAGTTTGCTCATACTATGGGGATACAAGCTTCTAGTTTCTCATAGATTGCTGAAGAGGGTTGTCATTAGAACTGCTGTGGCTGGAAGAGGTGTCACGGGGAAATGTTAATATTGGTGACAGAGGGTTATAGAGGCACTGTAGTTTCAGAATAGCTTGTGTTATATGTAAAATAAAGTGATCAAAAGAAACACATGTTTTTATTTCTGTAAAACTATTTTTGTTTTCAGTTATTCCTTCTTTCTCACATGGTCCAAACATAATTAACAAGACTAATTACTAATACTGTACAGGTATCCACAAAAAAGTTGCAGCATTACAGGAATTTCATAAATTTTCACCCCATAGCCCTATTGATGACGGAAATATTACAGGTAATTAAAGGGCATCCTTCCACAGGCATCTTATCTCAAAAAAAATCAGTGTGAATTATAAGTGGAAAATCAACACAAAAGTAATCTGAATCTGATTATGACTGAAATAGTATGCCTTTTCCCTTTTGTGACCTTTTGACCAAAAAACACTTTCTCTCTTAGAATTGGAAGTTAAAGTGTTTAATTATTTTCGTGCTGTACTTCCAGAATAACACAAAAACACCAGAAAGTGTCATAATAAATTAAATGGTGAGTAATTACCCTTGCAAAATTAACCCTTAAAGGACGGTTATACTGTATACAGTACAGCTCCTCCCCGACTTACAACGGGGTTAGGGACCCAAATCCAGGTTGTAAGTCGAAAATGCTGACCCAGTAAATATTACATAGAAAATCTAAAATGGGTGTCTCTTTTTTCTTATCAGCACCACAAAACTCACTTTTAAGGTTGCCAGCCATTTTAAAGTGAATTACAAACGAAAATTTTCTCTGTGTACTGATGTTGGGACTCAAAAATACGTAATTTGACAAAATTTTGGTATGACTGAGGCAGGTCGTAAGTGCGCGTGGTCGTAAGTCAGGGAGGAGCTGTATTTACGTGTTACGTGTGCTATCCGCCTGTGACGGGGTATATTTCAATATGTAGAAAACGGAGCAAATCACGTAAGATAATGTTGTTCAAATACATGTACAGTACTGTATACGCTCCATAAGTTTTTTTTGTTTTTGTTTTATTTGCACCAGGTGGAAACAAACAAATGTGGGTGAAATGTACAGTGATATCCCCAGGGTAAGATTAACCATAAGCTTGTAGCCTTAGGCCCTCATGATAATTAAGCGCTAGAGTTTTGGCCTTAATTTGTGTTTCTTAAACTTAAATATTTGTCACAACTTCACAAGGTGGATTAGTAAATGACTTTTGCTATGTTTATTAAAGCTCTACTTTTTCATGCATATTTAGTGAGTAACACGGTGACACAGGAGATAGAAGCAGTTTAATTTTTTTGGATTTTGAACTAGGAGTACAAATCCGCCAACCCCAGAAAAGACAAAGGGCATGATGACAACTTTACACACGTTCAATCATTCAACGACAAAGAAGCCTTCAGAGTTTATACATTCCCAACCATCATTGACAAACTGAAGAGTGCATTAGAAGATATATTCATGGCCTATACTGATATTGACAATGCCTTTAGTGTCCTGGCAAACTGTACGATGTCAAGCTCTCAAGTCAGTGAAGGTATTAGATGCTTGTGTGAGTAATATCCAGATGACCTTCCAATAGATTTTCTAAAGAATTTCTCCAATTTATTGAATTAAAACAGCCTTAAATATAACCAGAAAAGAGAATGAGAGTACAGCTGCTCCCAAACTTACCTCGGGGTTAGGAACCCAAATCCAGGTCGTAAGTCGAATTGGTCGTATAGTGAGTTCTGCTATAACGCGTGTTTTGAAAACGCGAATTGGCTCTAATGCGATTTATGAATAGAGGAACGATATTTGTATAACGCGAACGCTTGTTTGCTGTAATGCGATTTTTGCTTACTATTTCTCCAATTTTGTGGTATTAACTGTGAATATGGTAAAGAAGAATATCTCTAAGAAGCGTTCTGGTGATCGCATTCCCAGTGATGATCGTAAAAGAAAGGCTATAACCCTTGAAGAGAAGCTCTATGTTATCTACCTCAAAATCACCCTTCTCCCCCATCAAGTTATATTCATATTTTTTAAAGGTAAAGTGTTACATTTACTGTATGATTTAATTATTAGATATGAATGTAACATTTATTTAGACTGTGCTATCCTTTGTGTTAGGCTAACTACTGTACTAATTTTTTTTCGATTTCGAGTAGTAATCTGCACCTAACCCTATTTTCTCCATAAGCCCTGTTATTTCTATTACGCGAATTTCTATAACACGATGTTTTACAAGAACACAACTATCGCGTTATAGCAGAACTGACTGTAAGTCGAAAATGCAAAAAATAATAAATAGAAAATCTAAATTGAAATATAGTACAGTATAGTCTGGGTTTACGCGCAGGGCCGGCCTTAAGCCAATTGGACCAATTGCTCCCAATTGGGCCCTGCTCCTAAGGGGGCCCCGCGCTAGAGTAATTTACTCTCGGCTCGTCAAGTACACACAACAACACATTGCAATATATATGCAACATCATATCAATTCATAGTCACTAAAACAAGTGGTACTGTATTGTAATTATGTACTTTTCAGAGGTGATCTACACATTTTGTTTTTTTACTTGTAGGCTTACATGTATGCAATTTTATATTAAAATGTAGCTTAGATCTGTTTGGTCCATTAACTCGCATGCACTTTTTAAGCGCACATTTTGATTACTTTCCATTCTACCATAGAGATAAAAAGTCTATACTAATAGACTTTATTTATATTTCTATGATTCTACAGACCTTGGCTGGGAACCTGGGTTTAATTGACCGCGTAAACCCAGATTATACTGTACAGTTAAAGTAATCAATAATGAAGAATGGATACAGTGTTACTGTGCACTTACCTTTAATGTAGTCAGCTGAATGCACATGGGGCCCCCATAATTTTCTAATTATACATGGAGACTACATTAACTGGATGAAGCAGAGGAGGAGACAGGATTGATTGGGTCATCAATGTCGCTTTCTTCAGACAGGTTAATATACAGGGGAAACTTGCTTGTTGAAGGTATTGGATCATCTTTTGGGAGTGAAAAGGCAGCACCGGTGGGGCGTGAGGAGACAGCAATGGAGGACTTCTTAAAATATATGTCCAATTTAGACTACACAGTTTGATTTTTCTCTTCATTATAACTCTCCCTGTACCAAGCAAGTGCATCTTGGACCATTCTGTCAACTTTTGCAAAACACTCAACCTTTTGATCCATTCCGTCAAACATTTGCATCCCCTTATTAATTGTAGCAAATGCCTCTGCCATTTGTTTCACTGAAAATTTTTTGGGGGGTGCAGGTTCTTCTTCAACATTTTGACTCTCTTCTTCCTCTGCAATTTTCTGTGCTTCCAGTTCAATAAGATTCTCGTTACTTAGCTCTTCTGCTACACTTTCAACCAACTGCTCAACATCTTCATTATCAATTTCTAACTCCAGATGTTTACCCAACTCCACTATCTTTACTAATCTCAGAAATTACTTCATCTTCATTAAATCCTCTGAAACTGTTCACATATCTTTTCAGGACTTTCTAGCATATTCCATTCATGCACTGACCTGTAACCTCATCCCATGCTGCAGCTATGTTCTTTATACATTTCAAAATGTTGTAGTCCTTCCAAAACTCTCTGAGCGTTTTCTCACCTTCAGTAGCAGCAACAGCCTGAGCGAAGGTCGTACGTAAATAATTCGCTTTAAGAGCTGTAATAGCACCTTGATCCATGGGTTGGATGATAGAGGTAGTGTTAAGTGGAATATAGACTACCTTAACATCAGGGTACAGGTCGTCCAAGTTTGGTGGGTGTCCCGGAGCATTATCCAAAATTAACAAAATCTTGAATGCAATCCTTTGTTGCAGACAATACTCCTTGACTCGTGGAATGAAACAAGTCATGAACCAATCCTCAAACAGTACTCGGGTCATCCATGCTTTCTTGATACTGCGATAAAACACTGGCAGTGTGTGCTTGCTGACATGTTTAAAGGCCCTTGGGTTCTCTGAATGAGATATCATGAAGGGCTTTATCTTGAAACCAGCTATATTCCCCCCCAACAGAAGTGTGGTAGAAGTGTGTGTAGTGAACTGGTAGAGACTTTCGCTAGATTCAATAGTGATAAAAATCATGTCACCATCCACTCGCCTGGCATGTGGGGATGTATTGGAGCACGATGCAATCTCTCTCAACTCCCAGAGAATTTGTTCCCAGGATTAATTTTCTCGGAAGATGCCCCTAATTTTCATCCCCGGGAATTTGCACACAGACAAGGAATGGAGAGAGTTTTAACAGCCCAATTTCCATTCCTGCTATTGGAGAATTCTGGGGACCAGGGATTCCGGCTAACGAAGAGTTTACTCTATAGGGGGTCCCTGAGTTAGGAAAGGGCTCCGTTCCTGAGGATGTTCGTAAGTCTGAACACATGCTTTATGCATACTGTACTTACAAAACAATGTTTAAAAGCCCACTATATCATTGTCTCAGTCCTTATACAGTATACATCTAAAATCACTTAATTTAAGACATATGAAATAGAGTGACAAAATACAGGAAATGAAAGTAAAAAATATGTCATCAGGTAAATAAAATACGTACCGTAAATTTCAAGATTAACCCTGTTCATATCAGCGGGCACTCGTAACTTGGGGACCTCCTCATAACACCATCTGTGAGGGAATTGCTACACCACATCAGGCTCCTCATAACACCATTTGTGAGGGATTTACTACACCACATCAGGTCTCTCATAACACCATTTGTGAGGGATTTACTACACCACATCAGGCCCCTCATAATGCCATCTGTGAGGGAATTACTACACCACATCAGGCCCCTCATAACACCATTTGTGAGGGATTTACTACACCACATCAGGCCCCTCATAATGCCATCTGTGAGGGAATAACTACACCACATCAAGCCCCTAATAACACCATCTGTGAGGGAATTACTACACCACGTGATGCCCCTCATAACACCATCTGTGAGGGAATTACTACACCATGTGATGTCCCTCATAACACCATCTGTGAGGGAATAACTACACCACATCAGGTCCCTCATAACACCACCTGTGAGGGAATTACTACACCACGTGATGCCCCTCATAACACAGGGAATTACTACACCACGTGATGCCCCTCATAACACCACCTGTGAGTGAGAATTACTACACCACGTCAGATCCCTCATAACACCATCTGTGAGGGAATTACTACAAATTGTCAGGCCCCTCATAACACCATCTGTGAGGGAATTACTACACCATGTGATGTCCCTCATAACACCATCTGTGAGGGAATAACTACACCACATCAGGCCCCTCATAACACAATCTGTGAGAGAATTACTACACCACGTCAGGTCCCTCATAACACCACCTGTGAGGGAATTACTACACCACGTGATGCCCCTCATAACACAGGGAATTACTACACCACGTGATGCCCCTCATAACACCACCTGTGAGGGAATTACTACACCACGTCAGATCCCTCATAACACCATCTGTGAGGGAATTACTACAAATTGTCAGGCCCCTCATAACACCATCTGTGAGGGAATTACGACACCACATCAGGTCCCTCATAGCACAAACTGTGAGGGAATTACTAAAGCACATCAGGCCCCTCATAACACTATCTGTGAGGGAATTACTACACCACGTGATTCCCCTCATAACACCATCTGTGAGGGAATTACTACACCACGTAAGGCCCCTCATAACACAATCTGTGAGAGTTACTACACTATGTGTCTGCTGTTCAACACCTCAGCTAACATGATCTACGTGACCTTCACTGTAAACATTAATCTGTATGTTCACTGCACGTTCCTTTCTCTAATGAAGGCTTTTGTTAAACCACCAATGTATGTAATAAGTCATTTATGTCTAATGTATATTTTCAGCTTTGGGCTGCAGAACTTTTTCAATAAACCGTTAACTATTATTATTATTATTATTATTCATTTTGTGCATTATTCATGTTGAAGCTGCTAGTGAATAGTACAGTATTGTCGACGACTAAAAAAAGACCATTTCCTGAACAAACTATTTTTTTTAATATATGCCACGAGACAGATTTATGCTAGTGGTGCGTATACAGTGATATCCCCGTTAGCCGGAACAAATGGTGCAGAGCACTTCTGGGAATGAGAGATTTCCGGGTAACAAGACGACTCTCTCAAAGCCGGAAAATAATCCCTCATCCCTGGAATTTTCCAGAATTTTCCGGGTAACGGAAAAATGTTTTCGGAAGTTCCTGAAATTGCCCATTACATCATCTCTCGAACCAGGAAAAATATATCTCATCCCGGAACTTTCCGGAATTTCCAGGTAACGTAAAATTGTTCTCGGAAGTTCCAGAAATTGCCCATTATACCATCTCTCAAACCCAGAAAAATATCCCTCATCCCCGGAATTTTCCGGGTAATGGAAATTTTTTCTCGGAATTTCCAGAAAATGCACCTCATTTTCATCTCTCAAACCTGGAAAAAAACTCTCTCATCCCTGGAATTTTTTGGGTATCAGGAAAATTTTCTCAGAATTTTCCAGAAAATGTGCCCCTCAGAAAATCGTTCCCGAAGCCGTAATTTTCCAGAAAATTACGGCTTCGGGAACAGATTTTCCTTGAAAATTTCAATTATGGCTATCGGAGAGTTCTGAGTCTGAGGGATTCCGGCTAATGGAGATATTACTGTATTACATTTTGAATATGAGGCCAATTGACAATTATGACATGCAGATAGGGAACGTTGAGTGTGTAAGCAAGTCACTAAAATAGTACTGTATAAGAAACTTGTTTCAACTTACTGACATCACTATACTCAATGCATACAACTAACTATCTTGTCAAGACTGGAGATAGGATGCCACTGAAGGATTTTGTCGATGACATTGTATATCAGATGTTGGAGACACCTAAGCACAACAGGACATGGTCAGAGACCTCACCAGCCTATTCATTTACCTGATTGCCTGTCTGGTAGTACAGTATTGCCATGTCAAGGCACTATATCACCATCCTCCCTCTTGATAATTGTTTTGAGACTACCATACCTTCGTCTCACACTGAAAATAACAGTGAATGTGTATGTAAATAATTACTTATAGAAAATAAGTCGTGAATATTCATCATGTTAAGTGCATAAAGAAATAAGTTTATCCATGTCTGTCTGTGATAGTCTCACTAGAACACAAAGATGAGTTGTGTAAATATTGCTGTATTTCCTATATTGTCTGGAGATTGTGTTAGGCCCAGCAAAGACTCGGCCCCTCAGGCCACCTTAAAACTGACCCCTTCACTGGCTCCCATGGGGGCTGTGGGGTATGCCGGATGTTCTCACTGTGACAGGTGACAGCCGAATGCCAGCGGACGCTAATTGCTTAAGTACAAGCCAATTCTATCAGTGCTTGGCAGCAAGTATAGAATTTTTGTTTGCAGATATATTTGTAATAATTTTACTATCAGCACATGCAAAAAATATGAATTTGAATTTAAAAAAAATAGTTATTGAATCTGTGGCAAATAAAACAAATTTTTAACAAGGAAAGGGTTACAGTGCACTTACTGTTGTGTTTGTGTTATTCTGGGTGTACTTTACTTTAGTAGTTAAACTCATTAAGTTTCAATTCTGAGAAAAAAGGTTTCCTGTCCAAATGACCGTTTTGGCTATAATCTTGATCACTTTGGTTTTGTTCAAAAGGTCATTATAGTTACTCCTGAACATGCTGATTAAGGATCTGTTGTCCAAAATTTGATAATCTTGTAATTACTTGAACAAATGATGATTGGAATTTTTTAATTACACTACTGTATTGTAAATTGTAACGCTAATTACTCGTCACCTATGGCTTTTGAAAGGCACTATTTGGTGTTTAGGGGTTACTCTGGATGTACTTAAGTACAGTAGTTAGACACATTAAGTTTCATATCAATTAAAATCTCAATATAGGTACTCCTGAATGTGCATTCCACCTTTTTGGCCCAAGATCCTTAATGAAGAAGAGTGCAAATGTTGAGATACTGAATAAATCAAAAATATTGAGAAATATTAGTAATATTAGTTTTGTCTTGAATTTGTTACTTACTAATTTACTCATTATTTATACAGGAAAGAGTGAGACTTGAGCTTCACTGTTACATGTGTTGTCTCAAGTATTTGATTTTCAGTAAAACAAAATATTCAGCATTAAGATGCACTTTATTTCAACATGCCTTTGAATAGGCCAACACTGGAATTAAGGGAACACATTGAAGATTAATCTTATTTCAATACTTAATGTGGCTTCCTGCAGCTGACAAACATAAGTTGTAGAAATTGTCTTTAGCTCTCTCACTTGTTAGTCTTCATGGCCAAGCACTGGAGCCATGTATGCATTACCCTCTATCCACAAAATCATAAACTGCATGGGTTAATTGTCATCATTTACATAAAGAGTCTCCAGCATTTATAACAACACTTAAAATTATATATATTAAGACTACCGGGGTATGTACAAAATGTATCTCATCCGTCACTTTCATCGCTGGCTATCGCCAACAAAAATATTTTTTGCGACATCCAAATAACCAACTGTAAATTTTTTGTAACATTTATAAACTTGAGCACTGGGCACAGAATTCACACAATTAAAACCAAATATAATAATGATTACAAAAGTGAAAAATCCCTAAGTATGACTATATAGTCTAAAAACTCTACATGATCCTATCACCACAGAAGAGAACAAGTCAGATACACTGTCTGAAGCACAAGAATATCTCTGCAGGAACGAAGGTCTGGGTAGAAACAATGGCATGAATTACTTATTTTATCAAGATCACATACAAGAAAGATGATGCTGACTTCAAGGATTATAATTAACCTTGCCCCATTAGCAACTCTAGATAATTTTTCTTATTCTCCATAACTTAAGTAATTTAGTTCACAGGGATTGTAAGCTTTGTATATGACACAGTTTACTTTCAGAAAATACTGAAAATCCAGGTTCTATACATCAATCTATGCTGTATTAACAAGTGAATTTTAAATGGTTCAATATTTCATTGATAACCTAATGCTATGAAAGGTCAACATCAAAGGACAACTTAAAACTGGACTACCGACCTCAGGACACCGAGGCCGGCAGCCACACTCACAACCGGGCAGAGTGACCAGAAAAATGACAACATTAATGTTAATAAACGCTAACCGTATAATATCATCACCATAGATTCACGACAATGAATCGTGTTGTACCGAGGTAAAAATAGTCTTGCACACAACATTTCTATTGTACCATTTCACAAATTATTAGTACTGAAGAATTGTATACAGCAGTAACCATTAATATATACAAGAGTCAGTAAAACAAACCTTTGTGCAAACGGATCATGAATGAGTCGTAAATGATTAAGTATGAAAGCTCTGCATAGTAAAAAATTAATATATATATATATATATATATATATATATATATATATATATATATATATATATATATATATATATATATATATATATATATATATATATATATATATATATATATATATATATATATATATATATATATATATATATATATATATATATATATATATATATATATATATATAAAATATATAAAATGATGGCTTGAACCCTTGTATGAACAGTTAAGGAGCACACAGCTACCACATAATATTAAGTCTTCCCTCTAAAATAATAAATGAGTTAGCCAACTGTTAATAGTCAACTAACACAGAAACTCTTATGGTTTGCTGACTGTGTGAAATCCTTGTAATTACACTTCTTGTATTCAGTTGGAGAACAAGATTAATATAGTTTAAAGTTGCACAATAATTAAAACATTAAATTCAGCAATACATACAGAATGAAAAATGAAATGATATTCTATATATGTACAGAGTTACACTGGGATGATTGTGCTGAAGCATCTTACCTTATTCAACACCAAATGAAATTTTCAAAATGTTTTTTTATTAAACATGATAAACAACATATATCAAACACATAGCAAGTTGAAATGGCTCCCTAGGCAAGATACAGTACCGAGATGATTCTAACATATTGCATGATGATTTTTATATCTACATTGTATAGAGAAATGAGTGTAAATGTTGAGAGCACCAGACACGCACAAACGTCTGAATCACTGATGATTTACACAAGGAGTGATGAGGTGTTCTCAACTTTTATGACCATTTGAACACATGTCCAACATACAACAGAAATTATTATGCTTACTGTCAAAACTGGCATTCAATAGATATATAGCAGCTATATGCAAGCAGGTTCACCGAGACAATATCAAACATGTATTATTTTCCAGGGACTACCAGTACTCTTTTAGTGTTACTACACACTCCTACATGTATGATTATTCTTATACACTCCATAAGAATTATCAAGAGCAAAAGATTAAAACTTTTGTCACACATTTGTACTGTATTCCTCAATATAGTATTTAGTGTAAAGTGAAGTGTTTGTAGGATAAAATTAATTAAATATATCTCATTTCCTTTCACTTCACTGGTCAGGAATTTTGTTTTTTTTTGTTTTTCCGCAAACTATTAAAAGAAATGTTGGGAGAAAACGCTATTAAGTTTGAGGAAAATTGTCCTTTTTTATAAAAAGCATAAAACTCATGTCATATAAATATATTGCAAACTTTTGAATATTATATATAATTAAATAGTGTAGATTTTCTGGAGAATCCAATTTTGAGAAATAAAGGTTCTTAAGCACTGTTCACATGTACAAAAACTATTACTGTATATTAATGGCTACATCAGAAACAATCCCATTTTTTATATAACTTCTCTTTCCTTACAGTTGAACCTTCTCTTATTTTTCACTCAACACTATTTCATTATCATTATGACTGTCCTTCACACTGTCTTTAACATTCTTCTTTAACTTGTCTCATACTGTTACAGGCAACTTAACCATCTCCAGCTCTCGGACCATCACAATCTACCAATACATTTTGTTCATTCCTCTGTGTTAATTTTTTCCACAATGTAAGGTACCACACATCAAGCAGCCACGGTTCACCACAACACCGTCAGCGATATCATTTTCTCCACCATATTCACAGACCAATAATTATCTCTACAAATGTCATCGTATTCACAACAGGGATAATGTACACGTAAGTTTCTTCATAGTAAGAACACCAACAATCACACCTAATTAATTTATCAAAGTGCTTCAGTTAGGTTCACTTCAAAGCATAAACTTAAAATAGAGAAACACCAAAGGTCATGATTGCTGCCTTATCACACACACGCGTATATCACTTCTTAACTTGATGGGGAGGTGTTGTTGGGGTTGTCAACAAGCATCTTCATCAAGTAGTTGTCCAAAGGTGTGTCTCCAATCAGCTGAAGAAGAACATATTATATACAGTATCTCACAAACAGCTTGTACAGTACCAGCTTACAGCCTATTGTTGGTCCAAGGAGACTCAAGTGTTTTACTAATTTAATGTATCTGCCTTAACCACAACCCAATTTTATTTGTGCAAGTTTATTCCATAAACCAATTAAAACTTTGTAATTTTCATTAAAAAAAATCTAACCAATTCCAACCAAACAACTAACCTCCTAAAAGGTTTTCCTCCACTTCACCATGAAGCACACAATTAGTACCGAGTGTGTAGTGAGAATTCCAGCCAGCCCTCCCAACCACCATCCTTAGTATGGATTCCTATAATACTGTACAATGTTTGACCACAAACTACAGTATACATTCCTAACCCATGGGTCAGTAACCCAACTGGGTAACCAAACAGCATCCAAAATGAATGGTCAAGTTACACTGTGGGTCTGGTCACTGCTCCTGACATAGTGTGGGTGAGGTCCATGCCACAGAGGACCCCCTGGATGAACTGACAATTCAACTGGTTATACAAAAGATATAATTCCTGCCATCTGAACCAAACACAAACTGGAATTCACCTTAATACTACGGAGTAAATGATGCAAAAGAGGATAAAAAAAATTGCGTAAGAGAAAGAGCGAACATGAGAGGTAATACTGTACCTTGAACAAGAAAAGATACTCAAGGCATTTTAAGCCTATGGATCTTAATGCAGGTAATCGTAAGAGAAGTTTTGCAAATCGACCAGGTTCCTCAGGGTAACTGGTGCGTGTGTACTCCTCAAGAGCTGCATAAACCTTCTCTCGTAGAATCTCCACATCATTACAACATGTTAATCCCTTGGCATCTGGGTGTGACAGGTAAATTGATAAAAAAATTTAAACTTGATATTATAATCTATATTGTAATTTCACAGAATGTATATGGCATAAGTTGCTATCTATCAAATATTTAGAACATTCAGTTAAACCTACCAATTTCTCTATACCCCCTTAGGCCTTACCTCATCTACCGAGAAACTTTTTATATTCTATGATTTTTCAGTTTCAACCATTTCTCAGGCAACTTATCAATCTTATTTTCCCCTGTCCCAATATCTCTCAAATGATTAATTATCAACAAATTCACATCTTTCATATTTTGAACCAAAGGTGTAGGAAATTACACCCTCACCTTCAGTAACATAACCTGCATCACTTAGCGACTGTACCTTACTACAGTCTCCCCCAGCCACACGAGTTACCAGACAGGTGAAATAAGCTCAGGGGCAAATATTCAGGTGTTCTTATATGTTTTCTCCTTCATGAAGATCCAAAAACTAATATGATATTCAAAAATGCTTCTACAGTACAGTACAGTGTACTTACTTAAAACTAATAAATAACAGTACTGTATACACTACAAAATAACTAATAATAACAATACTGGACACTATAAATAACTAATAATAAAAGTAGTACTGTACACTACAGTATAAATAACTAATAATAACAGTACTGTACACTATAATTAACTAATAATAATAATACTCTATACAGTGAGTTCTGCTATAACGCGTGTTTTGACAACGCGAATTGGCTCTAACGCGATTTATGAATAGAGGAACGATATTTGTATAACGCGAACGCTTGTTTGCTGTAACGCGATTTTTGCTTACTATTTATCCAATTTTGTGGTATTAACTGTGAATATGGTAAAGAAGAATATCTCCAAGAAGCGTTCTGGTGATCGCATTCCCGGTGATGATCGTAAAAGAAAGGCTATAACACTTGAAGAGAAGCTCGATGTTATCTACCTCAAAATCACCCTTCTCCCCCATCAAGTTATATTCATATTTTTTCAAGGTAAAGTGTTACATTTACTGTATGATTTCATTATTAGATATGAATGTAACATTTATTTAGACTGTGCTATCCTTTGTGTTAGGCTAACTACTAAATTTTTTTCGATTTCGAGTAGTAATCTGCACCCAACCCTATTTTCTCCATAAGCCCTGTTATTTCTATTACGCGAATTTCTATAACACGATGTTTTACAATAACACAACTATCGCGTTATAGCAGAACTGACTGTACTATAAAAAGCTAATAACAACATTATTAATACTGTACCTAATGAGTAATACAATACACTACAAAAATAACTACTAATAAGTACACTATTAATGGCTTATAATAACAAATACACAAAACATCTAATAATTAACAAGTATACAATAAATAACTATAACACAAGTACACAGTAACTGTAGCCCCTGACCTACCTGGATTATAGAGCACTATAGAGCGTAAACAACCCAGCTCCGTCTTGTCCATCTTCATCTCCTTCATCTTAGCGACCAACTCGGACAACACTCGGTCGAAAATAGTTCCAACTCCTGCCTGGTGAGCGCTACTTCTGTGCACCTGAGATATATAGAAATAGAGAATTAAAAGGGAGAAAGAGAGAGATCAAAGTTAAAGTTTATTCCATTGATTCTATGGATAATTACTTTATAGGAACTAAACAATATCACTGCTATACTTCCTCTGAGCTTTTACTTGGAACTTATATAGCCACATGTAAGGACCTCTGGTAAAGAATTGTCCTCCAGGCTTTATTCTAATGGTGGGACAATGTTCCTTTGAGATAACATATACTGTACAGAAATATGTGAGGAAAACATGATAGTTACCACAAGTCCAGTAGCTAATACAATGCCGTCTTCGACTCCCATGCTTCGGTGTGAGAAGGAAGCGATGAGTAGTTCGTTCCACCCTGTGAAAAAATATGGACGATTGATATTTCAAACTTATGTCAGATCACAGCACGTAAACTGGCCCCCACAGAGTCATACATGGACATTGTGTATTTCTCTCTTGATCGGTTTTCCCTTTCATGGGGTTGCAATACCCAGGTTCAACTTTTAAGAAATAAATGAAAAGTGTCTCACACCAAACTGGGGCAAATGGTCATTATCAGTAGTGATGCTTAATTACTGTATTTTATACACCTGTACTGTGGTCATGACTCACCAGCCTTGAGTAAGACAACTTGATCTTCAACAGGAAGATCTGTGAAGTGTGGGATGTGTTTAGCCCACTCCACCAGTTGTACTAAGTGTCTGTCTGCTGCCTGGCATATGTTAGTTACAGCATCCTGAGAAATAAAAACAAAATTCAGTACATGTATTTACATAGATATTTATGCAGTATGCTCCACAAAAAATAGTAGCTGCAGTATCTTAAAAGGAATAATTTTTATATACCTCTGTATAAATAATTTCTTTTTTATGGGGAATAGCCCACCCAGGCACAGGTCATCGGCCCACAATGGGGCCCGGGGGAAGGGCGGGGGTGGGAGTAAAAAGAAATAAAAAATAGAAGAGAAGAAGACTATACAGGTATATTAATCTACACCACGAAACTGCACGAAAACCAGCTTTTTTAAGTGAGACAGATTATAGGAGTATGGAAACACAGAAGAAGGCAGAGCATTCCTTGAAACACTACTGTAGATGCAAGTATCCCTCGCTATATGAATAAGTTAGGGTCCTGAAAAAAAAATATAAATTAAGTGAATATTCATATAGCAAATAATAAAATACTGGGTAGTGTACTTGAGAAAAATATGGTTCAGTTCCCCAATGACAAGAAAGCCTTAATATCATTCACTAAGAAACATGAAATTGGTTCACAAACAACAAAACACCTTCCTATATAATGATAAATAGTACAGTACTCAGTTACTGTAATTTACTACTTAACACATTAAAAAAATTAATAAAATACTATGTAGACAAATATATGCAGCTAAAACCATAAATGAAAAGCTAAATGAAAGTTTAACACAACAGCCATTTGCATAGACACTGGCCTCAAGCCTCACCATAGCAACGTAACCCAGCTGGGAACACTGCCTCTGCTTACCCTTACCAACGCTCCCCTCTCACTCGTACACACAAAGAAATGTTTATTCCCTCTATGTTTTTGACCTTATGGTAGTTATTTCTTTTACTTTTTTGTACATTACAAGTATTTATATACAGTAGTACCCCGATTTACACGGTCAATTGAACCCATGGGGTACCGCGGAAAGTGAAAACTGCGTAAAGTGAACAACAGAACATATGGGATTAATTCCAATAGAGACTGGCCCGACCCCCAAACTCCACTTTTTCAGACACAATACCTACGTTGTAGTAAAAATTACATCTTAATTTTATGATGGTATGCACACACAATTAATAATTAAGAGAAATATCAATAATATTATTTTTTTTAACACTTACATTAGTAGAAAAGATGGCTGGGCACACGGGGATGGGGGGTTGGTTCCGAGGCAGAGGGCAGATTATTGGCCCTCACCTGTGTCACTTGTATCAATTGTATCACTATCCACCACATAGGCTTGCAGGGCCTCTATGTCAAACCCCTCAAAGTCCATATAAGTCCATATCCTCACTATCACTGACTTAGGCCGGCTGTGGTGGGTGGCGGGTGAAGAACTCGGTAATGTTTTGATGACTGGGCGACCCTGTGCGCATCCTGCCCGCGCCGCTTCCTGCGTATATGAGTAGATGCACCGCGGAAAGTGAAAGTTCGGTTCTGGCGAGGCACCGCGTAAATGAGAAATCGCGGAAAGTGAAACCGCGTAAAGCGGGGTAATACTGTAGAATTATGTGTGAAGGTAACCGAGTAAAACAAAAAGTGAAGAAAGTTAAGATGTCTACCTGAAATTGCGAGTTGAAAAACAACCATAACATAACTCCAACCTTAACCTACTAGGGACATGTGGACGCCCCTCTGACTCTCAGGGTGCATGATTTGAAGTTTTGCCACGACCCAAATTCGTACATGTGGGAGAAGCTTTCGTAACATGAAAGAGAGGAGTAATTAAGGAAATCCTCATGAGCGAATTTTTGTATCTCCAACTTTCGTATAGCGAGGGATACCTGTAAATACACTTTTAATTGCAGAATAAATCTCAGAAGACGAGATATAAGACTGGCTCACCCCTTGGTCAAGCGGCTGTTCATCCGTGTGTTCAACGCTCAGTTCCGCCTCACGGATACTTGTTATGGGCATGTCTGAGATGCCTCCACATGATGACTCTGTGTCTCCATCACCTTTGTCACCTTTTGTACGTTGACGCTCCTCCTGTAAGTTGCAATAAACACAAATATTGAAACAAATATCATTTTTTATCTTCATGTATAATAAAGTCCTGTTGCATCATCACTTTGACCACAAGCAATGTCCAGTGTTGACAAGTTTAAGATTACAGTACTGCACATATTGGCAGATATGAACTAGTGCACATATTGACAAGTATGTACTACAGGTAGTGCATATATTAACAAGTAAGTACTTTGTGCACATATGACAATTATGTGCTAGGTGCACAGGACACTATGGTGTGTGTCAAGTTTTGTTAATGTTCAAACTGTTGTTACTCTTTAATTCAAAATAATACTTTGGACTCATGACTAATGTAATAGGACCTTACTACACAGCTTTATATGGTGGATGGAGAGCTTATATTCTTAATATCAATTTTGTGTCACATTTTTGTATTATCCTAATTTGTAACAATAAGTGAGACTAAGGCCCCCAATCCACCATGTGTATACAACAATCATGCAGACAACAGAAAGTTGAGGATGTCTGCTCAGCGCAGAACAACCAAGCCCACCTCTACTGCCCCTACCTGGACCGCTTCTCTCTTCATGCCCATGGACAAACACTTCTGGTATCGGCAGAACTGGCAACGATTCCTTTGTCTCTTGTCAATAGTGCAGGATCTGTCCTCTCGACAGGCGTAAGTGAGATCCTTACGAACTGTTCGTTTGAAGAATCCCTTACAACCCTCACAGCTGGGAAGGTGTGAAAAGATGAGTGAGTAAAAGATATATAAGAGAAAGTATGTCTCAGCACACAAGAACCAACAGTCGTTAATTAAGGCCAGCTGAGTCAACACGAAAAACATTTACACTGGGATAAAATTCAAAATTAGATGGGTGAAATATAAATTGAACGATATAGAGAATGCAAATAAAAAAAATGAGGCCTCAAGTTGCTTGTGAAGCACATACATGTGTTAACTATACTTTATCTTATTGACCGAGAGAGTGATGAGACTAAATCCTGAACACTGCTTATGTAGTGCAAATATAAAGTTTATCTGTGTTAGGTGTTCCTCACACCTTATACAGTAAAGTACATGTACTTACTGTACTGCAGTGATTACTGAAACACACTATGAGGAACAATTATGAACCAACATATCCATTTGTATATAAGTACAGTACAGTATTTTAGATAATAAAATAGTTGTGTTAAATTTAATCATCAAAGTTACAAGACAAGAACATCTCTTTCCTGGCACTGACAGAGTTTGGCAGCCCTAATATAACTACATGTCTCTTCCCCCTCAGCTGGCTGTTAAGTGTTTAATAAACGTGTTTGTTCTTTTGTGTATCTTGAAATACATCACCTGGCAGGAACTACTGTACTGCACAACACAGTAAGTGATTACATGGGGGAAACTCAACCAAAATATCAATAATACTTGTCAGTGCTTCATGTTGATCAACATTCCATGTTCTGGAGTGCTGTCTTTAACCCCAAACTTTAATAACTTCTCCCTATTTACTGCCCGTGTACTACATTCACTAAATGTACAGTCATCCACAAAAGCCTTGTCGCCTCTCCTCCTGAACCACGAACCTCAAGATTCAGACTCGTGAATGCAAAACATTTATGGACAGAACAGCAATGCATCAGTGTGTACTGCTTCAGGAACATGAGTCTAAATCTTGGGGTTCATGATTCAGGAGGAGAGGCGACAATACTTTTGTGGGTGACTGTACACCATGTTCACCATACATAAACTATGCATATATTAAGTGAACATTAAAAATACACCACACACACTAAAAGTACACTATACATGTTGTACATATAATATGTTCACATGAAATATTACCCTCATTTGTCAGAGAGAGCTTGTGGTTTTCTTAACAAGACTAGATCATGCCAAGACTGTACTGTACCTGTAGATCATGCCAAGACTGTACTGTACCTGTAGATCATGCCAAGACTGTACTGTACCTGTAGATCATGCCAAGACTGTACTGTACCTGTAGATCATACCAAGTCTGTACTGTACCTGACTGTACTGTACCTGTAGATCATGCCAAGACTGTACTGTACCTGTAGATCATGCCAAGACTGTACTGTACCTGTAGATCATACCAAGTCTGTACTGTACCTGTAGATCATGCCAAGACTGTACTGTACCTGTAGATCATGCCAAGACTGTACTGTACCTGTAGATCATACCAAGGCTGTGCTGTACCCCTGTAGATCCCATACCAAGACATGCTGTGCCTGTAGATCATGTTACCAGAAGTCTGCTGTACCTGTAGATCCTTCCACCAGACTGTACTGCCTGTAGATCATACCAAGTCTGTACTGTGCCTGTAGATCATGCAAGACTGTATGTGCCTGTAGATCATACCAAGGCTGTGCACAACACACCTGTGAATCATACAGGGCTGCACTGCCCACTGTAGATCATACAAGACTGTGCCTGTAGATCATACAAGACTGTGCTAACACCTGTAGATCATGCCAAGACATGCACTGTGCCTGCAAAGATCATCACCAAGACTATGCTGGCCTGTAGATCATGCCAAGACTGTACTGTACCTGTAGATCATGCCAAGACTGTACTGTACCTGTAGATCATGCCAAGACTGTACTGTACCTGTAGATCATACCAAGACTGTACTGTACCTGTAGATCATACCAAGACTGTACTGTACCTGTAGAGCATGCCAAGACTGTACTGTACCTGTAGATCATACCAAGACTGTACTGTACCTGTAGATCATGCCAAGACTGTACTGTACCTGTAGATCATGCCAAGACTGTACTGTACCTGTAGATCATGCCAAGACTGTACTGTACCTGTAGATCATGCCAAGACTGTACTGTACCTGTAGATCATGCCAAGACTGTACTGTACCTGTGGATCATACCAAGACTGTACTGTACCTGTAGATCATGCCAAGACTGTACTGTACCTGTAGATCATGCCAAGACTGTACTGTACCTGTAGATCATGCCAAGACTGTACCATACCTGTAGATCATGTAAGACATACTGTACCTGTAGATCATGCCAAGACTGTACTGTACCTGTAGATCATGCCAAGACTGTACTGTACCTGTAGATCATGCCAAGACTGTACTGTACCTGTAGATCATGCCAAGACTGTACTGTACCTGTAGATCATCACCAAGACTGTACTGTACCTGTAGATCATGCCAAGACTGTACTGTACCTGTAGATCATGCAAGACTGTACTGTACCGCCGTAGATCATGCCAAGACTGTACTGTACCTGTAGATCATGCCAAGACTGTACTGTACCTGTAGATCATGCCAAGACTGTACTGTACCTGTAGATCATACCAAGACTGTACTGTACCTGTAGATCATGCCAAGACTGTACTGTGCCTGTAGATCATGTCACCAAGACTGTACTGTACCTGTAGATCATGCCAAGACTGTACTGTACCTGTAGATCTGTGCCAAGACTGTACTGTACCTGTAGATCATACCAAGACTGTACTGTACCTGTAGATCATGCCAAGACTGTACTGTACCTGTAGATCATGCAAGACTGTACTGTACCTGTAGATCATGCCAAGACTGTACTGTACCTGTAGATCATGCCAAGTTTGTACTGTACCTGTAGATCATGCCAAGACTGTACTGTACCTGTAGATCATGCCAAGACTGTACTGTACCTGTAGATCATGCAAGTTGTACTGTACCTGTAGATCATACCAAGTCTGTACTGTACCTGTAGATCATGCTGAGACGTACCATGCCTGTAGATCATGCCAAGACTGTACTGTACCTGTAGATCATGCCAAGACTGTACTGTACCTGTAGATCATGCCAAGACTGTACTGTACCTGTAGATCATACCAAGACTGTACTGTGCCTGTAGATCATGAGACTTGTACTGCCTGTAGATCATGCCAAGACTGTGCTGTACCTGTGTAGATCATACCAAGACTGTACTGTACCTGTAGATCATGCCAAGACTGTACTGTACCTGTAGATCATGCCAAGACTGTACTGTACCTGTAGATCATGCCAAGACTGTACCATACCTGTAGATCATGCCAAGGCTGTACTGTACCTGTAGATCATGCCAAGACTGTACTGTACCTGTAGATCATGCCAAGACTGTACTGTACCTGTAGATCATGCCAAGACTGTACTGTACCTGTAGATCATACCAAGACTGTACTGTACCTGTAGATCATACCAAGACTGTACTGTACCTGTAGATCATGCCAAGACTGTACCATACCTGTAGACGCCATAGTGTTTCCCAGATGCACGGTCCCCACAGATGGAACAGAGGTGCTTGGAGCCTGACAGAGGATGGCTGGGTGGGTACTGGTTAGGTGATGTACTTAAGCTGTTGCTGTTACTGGAGCTGAGCATATTACCACTGGAGCCAATGGTGAACGGGGCTGTTGGTATACTGTAAACAAAAGACAATGTTACCACTACTTCTCATTCATATAGCATTATGTTTATTTATTTGTTTTTTCATTGTAAATTTTTTTTATTGTTAACATTATCCATCCAGAGTACAGTACAAGTTTGGGAAAATTATAATGTACTCATATGAGAAAAACCCTTAATATACTGGATTTCAATATTATATGGAATTATGACTTGACAAAATACGTTTTTTTTAAAGGGTTACAGTATAGGCAAAGAACACACTTCCAGGTGAGTATGTGACCAATAGTACTACAGTATACTCCTTGTCAATTGGACTTACAGTACATAAGTTAAAATATCTGGCAACCTGTGAGTTTATAAAAGTACTGTAGCTATATGTTGTCAAAAAGTGTTATTATGGGAGAATAGTGAGACCTTACCTGGGTGATGCTGGCCCCCCATTGGCACTTGAGAAGCTTGAGGACGATGGTGAGAGGAGAGAGGCTGTGTCAGACGTCACGTTCAGCGGTGACTGGCGATCCAGTGACCCTGACATGCCGATTTCCAGACCTGACAGGAAATATGATGCTGTTAATGCAGTGTAAGATATTACACTGCATTTGTCAAAATTTCTTAAATAATATCTGTGTATTGTGCAGACTAATACTGTACCATAGTTTTAGCTGCATCAGTCAACTCTATGAATATCAATGATGGCTGGTTAGGTAACTCACTATGGAAACTTTAATATTTTTGCGAACCTAGACAGTAAAGAAGCCCATGACCATTCTTTGTTTCCTTATACCTGTAGGCCAGCAGTGTACTGTACTGTACTGATACTCCCTCCAGTAACTCCCTCACTGTTGTCCACCTTAGCCCCAGTCTTCACCTGCCTGGCTCCACCTGTCATATCATCTATGAGTCCACCTTATGCCCGAGACACTATAGTACACTATAACAAATGTTCAATACTGCTAACTAATTAATTCAGTTATTAATAAATGATGATTTAGAATACTGTATTACTGCTGAATGGCTTCAGGTATAGATAAACAGCCATGTATGTGTGTGACCAGATACAATATGCAATATGAAATAACAGACTACAGTACACAAGCGTAGAATATAACACAATTTTTGATGATGATGATGGTGACAACCTATATGATTCCCTATAACCAATTCATTATCAAAAAGAATTCTTATCATATTTACCATAACACAGTATAGGACAGTAAAGTTTATGATATAACCAACTCAAGGTGACATAGTTTATCAGATTGTTGACTCATGACTTCATCCTCTGAGGGACGAACGCTTAAAGGCATATCTCTATCTACGTGCATAATTATATGTTAAATGTTACTAGTGTTGGTTCAGGAACTAGACACACTACAACACATTACCTTGTGACCTTGTTCTTTTACATTTTAAAGGTCACGTCTCTAAATATACATTCTGAGGTAACAAACTGTACTTGTTAATGTAATCTTAAAAGTTTAACCACTCAAGCTGTCATGAAACTGTAGCCTGACTGATACAACACACACACACACACCTACTTCTGTATTACACCCTTGTACAAACTATACACACCTCTGCTTCTGTACACCCAACCACCTCTACACCCCTTCCTTCCCTCAGTGTAGCTTGGCCCGAGTTGGTGTGTGTGTGTGTGTGTGAAGGTCAGTGAGACCATTCTTCAAGCAGGAGTGAGGCAGCCCTGGGCACATAATTCTAACCCTTACGAAACCTTGGCATTTCTTCACTACACTGCCTCTAACAGTGATGCGCCTCAGTGTATAGTGTGCTGATAGTGTAGTATTGATGGTGCAGTGTTGATAGTGTAGTGCGTTGATAGTTTAGCGTGTTGATAGTGCAGTCTGTTAATAGTTAAATGTAGTGCATTGATAGTGTAGTGTAGTCTTCTGACAGTAAAGTATGCTGACAGTGTAGTGTTAACTGACAGTGTAGGAGACAGTATTAACAAATGGAGTGACTGGCCATAATAAAAACTTCTTATTTCCTTTAGATGTTTACAAGAAATAATCCGACAGAAAAAGATCTATTATATGAAAACAAAACAGAGCGGAATCATAGGATAATCCACTAGGCTGCCACCAATACCTAAACAACACTTACATACTGAACTCTCAAGTGCCTTTATGTAATCAGCCGTGTGTGTGTGTGTGTGCAGATGATGGCATGTGTGAAGTGTTAGTGTGAGAATGCAGAGAGGTACAGGTGGTGTGGTTGTGGTACAGATGGGGTGGTTATGGTACAGGTGGTGTGGTTGTGGTACAGGTGGTGTGGTTGTGGTACAGGTGGTGTGGTTGTGGTACAGATGGTGTGGTTGTGGTACAGATGGTGTGGTTGTGGTGCAGGTGGTGTGGTGGGGGAGGTAGACGCAGTTTGGTACCTGTACAGGGGGCGGGCCAGGGCACCACATCCTCGCTATTCTACTACTGCCAGGAACTCTTCAAGGTAACGTTCTCCCACCCACCCACATCACCTTCTCATCACCCACGCCGCCCACAACGCCCCTCTCACCATCCAAAACGCCCCTCTCACCACCCACGACGCCCCTCTCTTCACCTGTGACGTCCTTCTCACCGGCCGCACCGCCCACATCACCCTTTCTCCACCCACGACGCCCCACACCACATGACACCCCTCTCACCACCCACGACATCCTCTCACCACCCAGACGCCCTCTCACCACCCGACGCCCTCACCACCCACGACGCCCCTCTCACCACCCACGACGCCCCTCTCACCACCCACACCAAACATTGCCGCCCATCAATAAAAAGTAAAATCCATCAACTTGACACACACACACACACACACACACACACACACACACACACACACACACACACACACTGAGATGTAACTAATCCTCAAGTTACAGTAAAGACTCGAGAGCAGTATCGACTCCACCATCACTATCCTAACCAGGGAACTTTGTGTCGGAGGCGGAGAGAACCAGTTAGGTAGGCGGTGTCGTGGTCGCCAAGGAGAGGAGGCGGAGGCGAGAGAGGACGGGGAATTCCGATACATGAATCCTTGAAAATCTGGATTCAGGATATTTCACGCTCGGAACGGGATAATACATAAAAAAACAGGATATTCCACCTTAACCCAAAATAATACCAATAATAATGATAACAACAGGGAAAATAATGTAAAAATAATAAAAACGTATCAACATATATCTTAAAAGCATCTTTAACGAACTTACTAGAATATATAAGTATACAGAGAGTTGAGGTAATAGCTAGCGGGGTTGGCAAGAAAAACAAGGGGTACCAATGCTTGATTTACCGAATGAAGCTTATAATTACACGCTGTTTAAAGAATAAATATTTAATAGGTTATCGCTGACGAGATAAACACGCGCTGTCCTGATAAATTTACTCAGTGAATTTCAACAGCTCTCATTACTGCCTCACTGCTTTAAGGTGTATGAGAGAGAGAGAGAGGTGGGTGTGTCGAAGTGAGCATTGTGGTTAACGATCATATATGGTTTAATAAAGCTTAGTTCTTACAGATTTTGAAGATAATACCAACAAAACAATGCTCCTACTAACAACAACAATAACAAAAGAACAATACAAGCAATAACAGTCTCTCGCATACATACATACACGACAATCACAAGTGTACACATAACAAAAGGTACACACACTAATTATACACATTATATACAAGTACTACAGCCAGCAGCCCTCTGAGTCCTCGAGGTCATGACTGTGGTGGTGGTGAAGGAAGGGGAAGAGAAGGAGGAAGGAGCGGGAAGGAGGAAAAGGAAGAGGAGGAGGGAAAAGAGGAAGATGAGGAAGACAAGAACGAAGAGAAGAAGAAGAGGAAGAAGGGGAAGAGGAGAAGGAAACGGAAGAGGAGGAGAAGGAAGAGGAGGGTCGTCACATCACCTCCGCCATAATGAAACAATGGTAACAAGACTCCTGCCTGACAGACCTTGAACACCTTCACTCACCGTTACCACACACCCCTCCCTCCCTCCCTCCACTCCCCCCTTCCTTCCCCTCCCTCCTTCCTTCCTACCTCCCCCCTCCTTCACTAACTTCTCTCCACTCACTTATACTTCACCTTCCCTTCCTCCTTCCTTCCTTCCTTCCTACCTCCCTCCTTCCCTCCCCTTCTTTCCTCCACTCCCTCCTTCCTTCCCTCCCTCCACTCCCTACCTTTCCCTCCGTCCTTCTCTCCTCTACCCTCCCTCCACACTCCTTCTGGGTGGAGACAATACTCCACCTAAATCACCTTCTCCACACAAACCTCCACTCACTCCACTCCACTCCACCTCCATCATATCAGTCACACAGCTCACTACAACAAGGCGTCACAGACATTTACGTACGATTGTTAGTGTCAGGATGAGGGAGGAGAGGTGAGGTGGGAGGAGAGAGGACATGAGATGGAGGAGATGAGGTGTGTAGGAGGAGAGGTGATGAGGAGGAGGAGGAGGAGAGATGTGAGGTGGTGAGGAGAGGTGGGAGGGGGAAAGGGAGGGAGGAGGAGAGGTGATGAGGAGGGAGAAGAGGATGAGGAGGAGGGAGGAGATGGAGGTGGGAGAGGTGAGGTGTGGAGGAGGAGAGGTGATGAGGAGGAGGAGACGTGAGGTGGTGTAGGAGGAGAGGTGATGAGGAGGAGGAGGAGGAGACGTGAGGTGGTGGAGGAGAGGTGAGGTGGAGAGGTGAGGTGTGGAGGAGGAGAGGTGAGGTGGGGAGGTGAGGAGGTGAAGGAGAGGTGAGGTGCAGAGGTGAGGAGGAGGATACGTGAGGTGCAGGAGAAGAGGTGAGGTAAGGGAGGGAGGTAGATGAGAGGAGAGGTAAGGAGGAAGAGAAGAGGTAAGGTTGAGGAGGAGGAGGAGAGGTGAGGAGGACATGGAGGTGTATCTGTTATGTGTATGGACATGACACGACACTCACCTGAGGCCCGTCACCACCTTCACGCAATCCTGTCTTCATTTGTATTATTTCTTTAGTCTTCTCACTGTTAGTCTCTACGTTTATCATGCATCAGTTTATCTTATCTCTCTTCTACTCTAAGGTTTCTGCTCCTTCTTCCACCAGACGCAGATGGGATAAGAGGGAAGAGAATAAATAGGAGATAAAATAAACTATCCACCAGTTGTGCCGCCGTAATCCACGTGTACTCTTTAGTTAGAATAAGCTGGTTACCCTGGCGGGAGCACAACACGCCAAGGCTTCTCTTTCTGGGAAGTTGTGAGGTGAGAGCCAGACCTCAACCTTCACGCTGTTCATCAAGTAAACTTGAACTTTTCTCGTTTTTAACAAAGCAAAGTCAAAGTCCCGATTGTCTGGCGGAGAGGATTTGAATCTTTATTGTTTATAAAGCAGACTCAAGGTTCTTGTATACTGGCATTTATCCTGTCTTAAGAAGCTAATTTGAACCTCCTGAACCTAAACAATACAGTCATGTGAACGTGATCCGGTCCTCTAATAGTTCACGGGGGTGACTCGAGCCTCCCACACCCTGGAAAGTAAAACTGATGGTTGAGTGGAGTGTTAGAGCGAGGCTCGCTG